TTTTAAAAGAATCTAAAATCTATTTTAAATCAGAATTTTCTTAGTCCTAAGGTATATAGAATATTCTTAACTAATTATAAATAAAAATCACTGAGAAGATCTCAAAACAGCTAAGGTCTTTGCCATTGCATTGTCAGTTTTATAATAAGTTTGTCTAGGCTTTGGAAGATATTGTATATACATACAAAACCGTAACTAAAACCCTCTAAAAGAAAAGTTTCCCCATTTTTCATAGCAGCTTAAAGTAAAGTTATAAAAGCAACGTAATTCTACACGACTTAATGGCAAATAAAGCGACAAATAAATTTATTTACAGTTCACAAAAAAGAGTTGCAGAATTTTTAAGAGCTTTGTTCTAGAAAGAGACAATAAACGCTTAAAGTTTTGACATTTCTCTTTTCTAAAAAGTTTATATTTGCAAAAGAGATGCTTAAAAAGTATTAATAATTTAAATAGTCTATAAAAATGTAACTTATTAAGTAACGGGATGTAAGACTGGATTTTTTGTTTAATTTTTAGGAAATATCTTATTTATATTTCCATTAGAAAATGTAATACATTTTTTTAAAAAAATATTAATGATGTTATTCATTCAATTATTTTTTTATAAAAATATCTTAAATGTGTGTATGAATGATAAAGTTTAATTAATATTATTATTATTGGTAAATATTATAAATAATATCATTTATCTTACATAAACTTTATTCATTCATTAATTATTTCTAAAAATACCATACATTTTCTAATATAAATATTTTATTAATGATGTTATTCATTCAATTATTTTTTTATAAAAATATCTTAAATGTGTGTATGAATGATAAAGTTTAATTAATATTATTATTATTGGTAAATATTATAAATAATATCATTTATCTTACATAAACTTTATTCATTCATTAATTATTTCTAAAAATACCATACATTTTCTAATATAAATATTTTCTTTAATAACCACTTACCCTATTTTTCTTGATTTTCCTAGGCGCTGTTACAGACTCCCCCATCAAGATCATACGGCTGCCGGCGCAGGCGCCCGTGATCCGCTACCGCAGCGCAGATGCGGCGCCGGACTCGCTGCTGATCAACTACCGTCAAGATGCACAGCCGGAGTTGTCTTCCACGTTGATGCAGGCTCCTGGGGCGGCGGCTGCTGCTCTGGAGTCGCTGCTGCGCGAGGAGACGGAGCAGCAGCAGCAGGCACAGATGGGCAGGCGGAACAGAGCCAGTGCCGGCAGCACCGGCAACTGTCCGCGATCGTGTCCACCCAGCTTGACCGTGGGAGCAGAGCCCGTGTGCGGCAGTGATGGCCTGATCTATGCCAATCTCTGCGAGCTGCGCAAGAAGACCTGTTCGCGAAGCGGTGTGTCCCTGATCAAGGATGTCCGAGATGGCTGCGAACGTTCAAAGGGGTCGGACTGCAAGCACCGCTGCAGCACGGAGAAGGATCCGGTTTGCGGAACAGATGGACGCACTTATCTGAATCGCTGCATGCTGCGCGTGCAGTCCTGCCGCGTGGGCTTGGCGGCCGTGAAGCTATCCCATGTGGGTCCCTGCAGCAACACGAGTGCCGTGCGCGAATCCTGTCCGGTGGATTGCAACAGTGCGCCGAAGGACGGACCTGTGTGCGCCTCCGATGGCAATGTGTACAACTCAACGTGCGAGATGAAGCTGCACACTTGTGGCCAGGGGGTGGTGAAGACCAGCCGGAAGCACTGCCAGTCGACGAGGATGTGCCGGGAATCCTGCTGGCGAGTGGCCAGGCCCACCTGCGGCTCCGATGGGCGACTCTATGCCAGTCCCTGCAAGATGCGCTCCTCCAACTGTGGCAAGCACGTTTTCGAGGTGCCGCTCTCCTTCTGCATGCCGCAGGAGCGTCATGGCAGCGCGGCCGATGCCTGTCCCACCGACTGTCCCAAGGCGGAGGCGGATGCTCCGTCGCAGTATGTGTGCGGCAGTGATGGCAACATCTACTCCTCGCTCTGTGAACTCAAGATGCTCAACTGTGGGTGAGTTTAAGGGAAATAAAAGAAGTAAATTAAGAAATAGTAAATCATAAACGCTTTCCCTTAGCCCCCAGCGCAAGTCCATCCAGAAGGTGAGCATGGACAAGTGCAAGAACCGCTTGACCCGCTGCAAGCAACTGCCGCCCTGCAAGGACTTCAACAGCCTGTTTGGCTCCATCTTCAGCTCGAAGCGAAACGACAAGCTCTGCGGCACAGATGCCAAGACCTACAACAACGAGTGCGAGCTGGCCCATGCCACCTGCCTGTAAGTGACATCTAAGAGAGGTTAAGTTTATAGGACTTAACACCTTGCTTATCCTATTCCCAGACGCGGCGTGAACCTGGCTCACATTGGAGCCTGCACGGATCTTAATTCGCCCGTCAAGGACTGCGGCGATGCCTGCACGCGCGCAGACCTGGAGCAGCAGCCGGTGTGTGGTTCAGACGGCAACACCTTCGCCTCCATGTGTGAGTTCAAGAGACGCACCTGCAACATGCGTGTGGTGGCCGTTTCCCTGAAGAACTGCGCCCTGACCGCCGACTGTGAGTCGGACTGCGATGCTCAGCCGCCGAGTTTTGTGTGCGGATCGGACAATAACCTGTACAAGTCCGAGTGTCACATGCGCAAGGAGAACTGCGGCAAGCATGTGTTTGTGGTGCCGCTGAAGCGATGCCTGGCCGCCTTCCAGCTGAAGGGTTGTGCCCGCATCTGTCCGCGGGAATTCGAGCCTGTGTGCGGCAGCGACAACAAGACGTATCTGAACGACTGCTTCCTGGAGATCGAGAATTGCAGGGCGAACCAGACGGTGAACGTCAACTACTACGGCGCCTGTGGCCGCCCCGAGGCACCGTCCACCAACTTCCTCTACTAGGACGTGAACAAGGCGCACACACACTTGACAGCATTTAATAATTTTAGGCTATAGTCTTGTATTGTACTTTTTTTAAAAGCGATATTTATTGAGTTTTGAATTAAAGTCCCCCCAACGAACTTACGAACTTACGAACTTAGGAATGCACTCGAACCCAGCTACCCAGGGAGCGGGAGATCTCTAAGCGGAGTCATCGAAGAGCTTGCTCAGCATGGCATTGATCTCGTGCGGCCTGTATCTCACGTACTTGTCGGGATTCTTGCTGAACTGAACGCCGGCATACCTAAAAAGATAAAGATATTATTACAGGAGTAGGCCTAAAGCTTATTACTTAAGCTTACATTTCGTGGAAGCGGTTGTATTTGGGCAGAATGTGCTCCACATTATCACGTTTGATACCCTCGCGCAGGATGACATCGGGTATGGAGATGCCTCGCTGGATTTTACAGGCCTCCTCAAAGTCCTTGTTGAAGTTCTAAACAAAAAAAGAAAAGATAATAATAATAATAATAGGAAATATCAAAAACTATCGAAACTTCCAAAAAGTTATCAATCGAAACCCACCGAAAATCTCTCCTTCAGCACACTACGATCCTTGTCCTTGACTTTGCCGGCCACTGGCTTGGGTAGCTCATCCAATGAGTATATACCCAGCAACATCTTGGACCAGGTCTTTTGATAGCTGGCCTTCAGCTCGCGTATCATCTCCAGGTAGCTATGCTCGCACTCCGGCTCTGCCAGCGTGACCAAGTCAATGAGGTTGGAGCGCTGCAGCGACTTAAGGATGTAATGGATGTTGTTCAGGCGGAAGAGATGCTTGGTGGCCTGGTCATTGTACTGCTCGCACTTGTTCATAATGGACAGATTCAGCTCCGCCAAGGCCTTTTCTGTTTAGAATTAAAATTTAATACAAATAAATTTAAAAGTATCCCTACTCCTTACTTATGTAAATGGCCAGGAGAGCCTTGTTTCGCTCTTCGCCCGGCAGCGCCTTCTTCATCAGAATAGTGTCCAGTTGCGTGGAGTAGAGCACATCCTGGGCCAAGATGGAGCCAATCACATCAAAGTGCTCGTACAGGTGTTCAATAAACCAGATCGTATTGGAGGTGAGCTCATGAACGGTGGCATCCTTGGGCACATTGCTCTGGCCCACAATATTCGTGCTGGACTCACCCTTGACCACGTCCAGAAAGTGCTCCAAGGCCTTGGCCCCCGTATGCTGCAACTTGTTCAGCACCTTGGTCAGCTGTTCCCGCTGGGCAGGATCATAGGTGCGCTCTATATCAGGCTGCAGCAGGATCACACGCTTCAGAGCCGAGAATATGCCCAGGGCCGAGGTCCACTCCTTGCGGGAGATGCATCGTAGGATGCGTTGCGTGATGGCCTCGGCATCCTTGACCACCAACTCGATGGCATTGTAGGCCAACCGAGCGAAAACTTCGTTGTGCTTCGACTGCGGTATAATGTCGTGCATGATGGCTCGTTCCCAGTTGAGTAGACGCTGCAGACCCAGCAGCATGACCAAGTACTTGTCCAGCTCCTGGTCGCCATCCATCAGATCCTCAGAGGTCAAATGGTCGCTATGCGATGATGCCTTCTTAATGGAGAAACCAGTGGACTGCTCAATGGTCTGGGTGGCCCGCAAATACAACTTGTTGGCCTTCTTCTCGAAGCTGAAGTTGGTAATGAAAATGGGTTTTATTATGGCCTGCAACAGAAATATATGAATAGTTTCTCTCACATTTGCTGAAGGCGGGCCGAGGTGTTCTTCTTGGGTTCCGGTTGGCGTCCACTATGACGAGGTCTCTGCAAAAAGTGGCGAAACGGTTTAGGTAGGGGTAAAAGGTTAAATATTCCCAGATATGGAAAATTAATAGCTTCTTCTTTAAGTAATCATTTCAGATTAATTATAAATAGTAAATTAACATAACTAATTAATTTTGTTCACAATATTATTTTTTCCTTCATTCAAGATAACTATTTAAATATATTAAATATTTATATATTTTTTAATTTTATTATTTATTAAATATAAAATATTTTAAAATTATTTCTTTTAACTACTCGTTTATCTTCTCAAATAAAAGTCTGAAAGAATCAAAGAATTGCTAGTTAGAGATTTTTGAAGACCACAATTTTTGTTTTTTATTTAGTTTTTTGCTTACAATAGAGACCAGCTTTACATAAAACATATTTGGAATTATTTTAAAAACATTATTTTATATTATTTAGATGAAAAAAAACATTTCGGGATACATTTATTCTTAAACTAACAAAATATATATTACGGAGACACCAGGTCTTTCACAATAATTTTCTCAAAATCCTACTATTAATCCGCGAAATCCAACATAACATAACTCTCCTCACATAAAACACATTTCAAAATATTTATCCCACAGACTCATAGAGCATTGATGGCATCCATAATCTTATTACAATCCTCATCGGCCTTGAGGCCAATTTTGGCCAGATCATCACGTCCCATGGAGGCCAGGGTCACCATATCGATGTGGGCCTTCTCAAAGTGACGGACATAGCTCTCCAGGCCGATGTGCACGAGGACCTGCTCCACGTTGCGGGCATGGTTCACCACATACGAGTGATTGGAGGCTGTGACGGAGCGGCGACGTGACTCCACAGTGAGGGAGGTCTCCAAATTAGAGTCATCCGAACCGATATCCAGGCTGCTGTTGCTGTTGCTCTTCCTCTCCCGTTCCAGTTCCCGTTGCTTCTGCTCCATAACCTCTTCCTGCGGCTGGGGCAGGACGAAAATCGGAGGCTTCAGTTCGCTGCGCTTGATCATCTTGGGGTTGCGCTTCTGATGGTGATGTAGATGCTTAATCGGCGGCTTCTTCAATTCTTCGAAACGCGACACCGGGCTTTTCTTCGAACCCATGCCCACGATCGGCGAGAGATTGGGCGATCGAAAGTCCCCGAATATGGGCGTGGAGCAGCGCACGCTGGTGTTGCTCACATTCAGGGTGTTCCATCGCCGCTCCTTCATCGTTGGAGTGCGGTTGAAGGTGTAGTTTTTCATGTTCGTTGGAGTACGGCAGTGCTCCATTTTATTTGAAGAAAATTTTCTTTTATAAATTCTAAAAACGACGCGTTCTTGACAAATTCTAGTAGACAAATGGCGGCCACAGAAGCTGGCTGCAAATCCAATTGCTAAGGGAGCTTTTTCCCTCAAGTGCCGTTAGCCGAGGTAGCAAGAGGAAAGGAAACCAGATAGAAACGGGAAGGCAAGATAGCTGGATAGGGATGATATATCGCGGTACCATACTTAGCAAGGTACATTAAGTTGATAGTACAAACAAGCTCAAGTCATTGTACAAGGTGCAAGGGTAAAAGGTGGTGGGAAAGGTACAGATTTTATTTTTAAACAAGAAAAGAAGCTAACTTTAGCAGGCAAACTTCCGACTAAAACTATGCAAGGGTATAAAAAGGTACTGTAGTATGTACCTAAAAATTGTACCCTAATTGGTAAAAAGGTACCACAATATACTTAGTTATTAACCCATGAAAATAATCAAATTTTCCACTTGGTTTTCTTGAAAAAAGTTGTTCTCTTTTAGAAAAGTCATTGCTACTCACCAGCGCCTCGTGGCCCCAGCTATTGCTCTTCTGGTGATCCTTGAGCAGCTGCAGCGATCGTAGCACCACATCGCCGCGCTCCGTGGCATAGATGTGGGTGTACTCCCGCAGATTTTGCTCCAACCAGTGGGAGATTGTGTAGAGCTCTTCGCGCGTGGTCTGCGACAGCTGCCGGAACGAGGTGTACTCGTCGCTGGAGTCGTCTTCGATGTAGATGAGGTCCAGCAGCTCCACGGGCTTTAGCGGAGCACTATGCTTCTTCAGCAGCATGCTGTAGTGCTGGTTGAGGCCCTCGCATCCGGTGTTGAACAAGCTGGTCACATTCTCCAGCTCTACGCTCTGGGAGTTGTTGTGCAGAAAGTAATCCATGGCCGCTCGCAGTTTGGCCAGAGCGTCCAGGAAAACAGAGATGTTGCCCTCAATGGGACCCTGGTGGATCAGTTGGCACACCTCCTGCGAGACATCGTAGTGCGAGAGAACACTCTCTAAGCAGTTCAGAGTGGCTTCCAGGTCTACGAAAAAGAGAGGCGTCAACCCATAGTGGTCAGGGAATCCCTTTGTTTATCTTTTCGCTTACTTTGTTGCCGCTTCTGGAGCTGCTCTGTTTCCTGGTAAACGGGTAATATGGTCTGCTCCAGGTTCCCCAGGCGCTTCTCGAACACGGTGAGGATACTGGACATTTGCGTGGAGAGATCATGATACTTATCCACTCGGTCTTTCAGCAGAGCCAAGCTGGTGGTTTCCTGTGGAAATACTGGGTAAATAAAGAGTCTCACAGGCTGACAACTGGGCTTACCTTTTCCAACTTGTTGTGCGCCTGCAGTGAGCTGTCCAGATTGTTCATTTTCAAACGGATATATCTTAAATTCCGCTTAAATTGTTTTGTTATGACTGGAAATTGTAAAATAAATAATTATCTTATTAGACTGGCAGTGTTTTGGTCTTTTTTAGGTGATTGTGCAACGGTCACACAGTTTTAGCAGTGCTGCCAATTTGATTAAATTCAAAAGAATAACTGGAAATTATAAATAAAAATAAGTTTAAATATCCTAATTTAATAAATATCCTTGTTCAGAAAGGGATTCCTTTAGCTTGAAGCTTAAACTGTATTAGTTGTTACCTATTGGCTGGTGTCTATATATTTTAGCTACTAAAAACAGGTTTAAAAAGGCCAACACTGCTTCTTTAATAGCCAAGCTGCCACCTCCAACCTAAACTTTTGTTATGGATTCCGGTTGCCATGGTATCTGTATGTAAACAACGAATTTAGAAGAATTTTTACCAACTATGCAGCAGCAGCTCTAGAGGATTAGGCACAGATTGTTTCAAAAATGAGGGGCGTACTCAAGTGGCTGGAACGGATTGAGTTTCCCAACAGTAAAGACAACGAGATCAGGTAAGGTTTTCCGTGGAAAAACAACAACCTGTTGCTCTATAACGGTAACGGGGAAAACCTCTTTTGCAGCGTTCACAATGTTTGCTATGCTCCCGATGGCAGCCAGTTGGTGGTGGCCGCAGGCGATCGGCTGCTCATCTACGACCCGAACGACGGTTCGCTCCTGAACACCCTGAAGGCCCACAAGGACACGGTCAACTGTGTTGCCTACTCGCGGGATGGCAAGCGATTCGCCAGCGGAGCCTCCGACAAAATGGTCATTGTGTGGTCACCACAGCTTGAGGGACTGCTGAAGTATTCGTGAGTAGATGTGGAAAATGTATTAAAAATATTATTTGAAATTTAAATTAAAGTAAATAAGAGGTAAAGATGGGAATGAAAGAATGATATTTTTATTTTGTAATTTTGTTTCAAATTAAAATCTTAAATTAATTAAAAAAGTCAAATATTAATTGAAGTAATTAAGAGGAGAGGATAGGAAACACGTTTCTTTATCTTTCCTTGTAGTTTTTTTTTTACTTAAATAGTTTAAAAATTGAAGAAATTGATTAATAAAATATAAAAATTATAAGAAGAATTTAAACCATTTACTTTAAAACATTTTTTTTGTATTTTTAAGGGACTTTTTCCGATTATTATAAACTCTTGTAATATAATATTTAAATTCATAAAAAAAAACTCACTTTCCCAGACATGGTGACTCCATTCAGTGCATGAGCTTCAATCCCGTCTCACATCACCTGGCCTCTTGCTCCTTGTCAGACTTTGCATTCTGGTCGGCCGATCAGAAGGCCGTGCAAAAGTACAAGATCTCCGCACGTGTGAACGGCTGCTCCTGGACCAACGATGGACAGTACCTGATCTTGGGCCTGGCCAATGGCACCATTTCCATACGCAACAAGCTGGGCGAGGAGAAGGGTCGCATTGATCGTCCGGGTGGACCCAATAGCAACGTTTTCAGTGTCCAGTGCTGTCCGGCTAGTGGACCCGGCAGTGTGGACACCATTGGCGTGGTGGACTGGAGTCAGACGCTGTCCTTTCACACGCTCAGTGGCCAAATGATTGGGAAGGAGCGAACTCTGGGCTTCGATCCCCTGTGCCTGCAGTACTTTCCGAATGGCGAGTTCTGCTTGGTTGGCGGTTGCACCGGAGGATTGCACTTCTTTACGAGGGAGGGCATTCGGCTGGGCACCCTGGGCGACAGCTTCGACACCTGGATATGGACAGTGGCTCTGCATCCCAACGGCCAGTCGTACACCATTGGCTGCCAGGATGGAACACTGGCCTGCTTCAACATCGCTTCGAGCACGGTTCATGCTCTCTACCGCGAACGCTATGCCTTCCGGGAGAACATGTGTGACGTTATCATTCAGCACCTGATCTCTGGGCAGAAGGTGCGCATCAAGTGCCGGGATTTGGTGCAGAAGATTGCCATATACCGGAACCGATTGGCTGTTCAGCTGCCGGAGCGGGTGGTTCTCTACGAACTGAGCTCTGGCGAGGATCAGCCGATGCACTACAAGGTGCGGGAGAAGATCCAGCAGAAGTTCGACTGCAGTCTGCTGGTGGTGTGTGGCCGCCACATCGTCTTGTGCCAGGAGAAGCGGCTCCAATGCCTGGACTTTTCCGGTGTCCTGCAACGCGAGTGGATCATGGACTCCTTTATTCGCTACATCAAGGTCACGGGTGGTCCAGTGGGTCGCGAGGGACTGATGGTGGGCCTGAAGAGTGGCCAGGTGTTCCGGATCTTTCTCAACAACTCTCTGCCGCTGCTGATCACCACCGCTGTGTCGGCAGTTCGTTGCCTGGACATAAACTCCAAGCGGAGCAAGATCGCTGTGGTGGACGACGTTGGGCGCTTGGTAGTGCGAGACATAGTCAATGACACGATCCTCTACCAGGACACGGGCGTTAACAGCGTTACCTGGAACACCCACCTGGACTCGATGCTATGTTACACCCACACCACCGGAGGCTTAAGCGTTCGCGTGGGCAATCTACCGCCCAGGGCGCCACAGAATATGCACGGCGTGGTGGTGGGACTGTGCGGAGCCACTGCCTTCTGTCTGCGAGGGAATATAATGCACAACACACCCCTGGCCCTCGGTTCCACCATGTGGCAGTTCATCGAAGCGGGCTTGTTTGAGTAAGCCTTAAATTTTAAGCTTAAGCTTTGCATCTAAAGATTATTTTGTTTCCCAGGGAAGCTTACCAGGTGGCTTGTCTGGGTGTGACCACCAGCGACTGGGAGGGACTGGCCCAGTCCGCCCTGGAAGCCCTGCATATCAATATTGCCCGCGATGCCTACGTCAAAGTGCGTAACCTGCCCTGGCTCAAGCTGATTGGGGAGCTGAGGGATCAGCAGCAGCGTTCGGCTGTGCCCAAGGAAGTGCTCCTCGCGGAGAACTGCGCCTTCGCTGGGAAATTCAAAGAGGCTGCCCGCCTATTCCTTAAATGCGCCCAGCCGTCGCGAGCCCTCGAAATGTACACGGACCTGCGGATGTTCGATTTGGCCCAGGAGTACATCAAGGACGGCACGGCGCAGGAGAAGAAGGAGCTGGTTCGCAAGCGGGCGGAGTGGGCCTATTCCGTCAAAGAGCCGCGTGCTGCTGCCGAGCTCCTGCTCTCCGCGGGAGAGAATCAAAAGGCCATTGACATTGTGGCAGAGCAGGGATGGGCCGATGTGTAAGTATCTCAAGGATCTCAAAAATCATAAAACTAAGAATACAAAGCTATTCAGGCTGTACGATATCGGACGTCGCCTGAGCCTCTCGGAACGCGATGCCTTGGAGTCGGTGGCCCAGAACCTAAAGACCCTCAAAGCTCTGCCCTTGGCCGCTGAGATATTCAAGAAGTTAGGCGACGAGGCCCAAGTCGTGCAGCTGCACATAGAGGTGCGAGACTGGCCGGAGGCTTTTCGACTGGCAGAATCCCTGCCAGAGCTGCTGCCCACAGTGCACTACCAGCATGGTCAGTGGTTGGCCGAAACCGATCAGTTTATAGAGGCGCATCAGGGTGAGTTCATGATTGCTATGTTATAAGGGATTTGTAATAAAGTGTTTTCTTTGTAGCTTATTTGAAGGCAGGACGCACCAAAGAGGCCAATCGCCTGCTGAAGCAGCTAAGCAATACAGCCATTGTGGAGGAGCGTTACCTGGATGCCAGCTACTTTTACTGGCTGCTGGCCAAGCAATGCTTGGATATATATCATGCCAAGGAGTGGGTTGAGGGATATTTCTCTAGAATGAGTAGTGGTTAATTTGGAAAATCCATCTTATTTCAGCGAACAAAACCCCATTGATCATCACCTGACCGAGTACAAGAATCATTTGCGCATTGCCAAGGTCTACTATGCCTACAGCGTGATCTACAGCTACATGAAGGAACCCTTTACAACCCACTCACCAGTGAGCTTGTTCAACGTTAGCCGCTTTATACTCAACGAAGTGGAGCACAAGGGTGTGCCCAAGGGAGTCAGCATGTTGTAAGTAGCCTACTGATCAGGGAGGTTTTCTTTATAGATATTATATAGCACCGAATTAACCCTTATCTTCTTTGCAGTTCGGTTCTGTTTACTTTGGCCAAACAGGCCAAGTTTCTGCAGGCCAACAAACTGTGTTTGCTTATCAATAAGCGTTTGCAGTCCCTGAAACCACCGGCTGGAATACAAGAGCAGATTGATGTGAGTTGGTTACAAATCTTCCAGTGATTGTAGAGCTTAAACTTTTGTTTTTGCAGCTCAATTTTTTGAATAGCAAGGCCTGCAAGAGTGGCTTCAACGATCCCGAGGAGCTGCTGCCGCTTTGCTACAAGTGCTCGAACTACAGCCAGCACCTGAATAGCAATTGTTGTCCCACCTGCCGGCAGGATTACATTTTCTCATTTGTTTCATTTGGTAAGATCGCATTTACTGGAAAAGAGTGAAGTGGGAGTTGATCTATAATTTCCTTTTCTCTAGAAATTCTTCCCTTGGTGCAATTCTATCCCGAAGTTGATATATCCGATGGCGAAGCTGAGCGCTTGCTACTTGCTCCTGCTAAGCATGCCGAGGATTCGGATCCCTTCAACGAAGATGCGGCCAGTGTGGCCTTGCCCTTGAGCCTCGATCGCAACGGTCTGCGTGCCATTGATCCCAACCATGTGCTCATCCTCAAGCGGCAGGGAAAGAACGTGCGGAATGTGTACTATCGCAATATATTGCCCGATCTGCAGGTCACCTACTGCCCCCAATGTCTGCTGGTGAGTTTGCTGCACAAGAAATAAGAACCTTACCCAGATCCTAAAGCTGATCCCTTGCAGCTATTTTATGCCGAGGACTTTGAGCTGCAAGTTCTGCAAAAGGGTCACTGTCCATTCTGCCACACATCGTCAGAGAAGTTGCTGGAAGACTTTTGAGGCGGCCTTTGTAGTAGTTGTAGTTTTGTTAAGAATATTATTTCCGTCCAAACAATCCGTACAAATAGGAACTTATGCGCGAATAAAGAGTAGCTTTTAGGCCCAGGTCTCCTCCTGATATCGTCGCTGCTTGATCATCAGATCCACATAGTCCGCATCACCGCCGAGGATCTCGATGAAGGCCTCTCTCACCGATTTGGGCATGTTGTTGGAGTTCCCAGCCACGTAGATGAAGGCATTGCGGTCCTTGATGAGTCCCGCTAGGTAAGGGCCATTCTTGGTTATCAAATGCTGGACATAGACCTTGTGATCCTCGTCCCGGGAGAAGGCAAAGTGAGCCTCCACCTGTTTAGCCGTTGTCCAGGCTGTAAAGTCAGCTTCAAAGTGAAAATCGGAAGATTTGTTGCGGCAGCCAAAGAATACGACCAAAGGACCAATGGCGGAGCCTGTGGCTTGGGGCTGCAATCGATGTTGGATGATGCTGCGGAAGGGGGCAATGCCCGTGCCAGGTCCCACCATAATGAGAGGAATGCTCAAGTCCTTGGGCCACACCATGGTCCCCTTTTTGACAACGCCTCGTAGCTCGGTTGATCCCGCCTCCAGATGCTTCAGCCAGTTGGAGCACAGGCCCAGGCGGGGAGTGTGCATGATGGTCTTGTAGTTGACCACAGCCACCAGCAAGTCTAGCGTGCCGGAGGACATATCCGAAGCTATGGAGAAGCTGCGAGGCTGAATCAGTGGCATCATCTCGAAGAGCTGCTCCAGAGTTAGGCGGGATGTGGCATGACGAAAGTCCTGCAGAACCTCTAGGAGTGTGCGACGCGGTCTGTTGACATAGGCCACCAGGTCATCGATGCCCTCGCCAGAGCAGAACTCCACCAGTTTCTCCTTTTCCATCTCGTCGCTGCAGTTAAAGCCCAGCACCTCAAGGAACCTCTGTCGCGGCTTGGCACTCAGGTCCCAAACGTATTTGGCCGCCTGCCGAAGGCTCAAGGGAGTGGCGTAGGCCTTTGGCAGCGGCATGTCCGGATGGGCACTCACCACCTCGACCACGGTGTCCTCATCGAAGTTTAGGTTGTGTTCGCGGATTAGTTCAAAGAATTCCTTTACAGTTTCCTCGCTGTTCTGGGGCTGCACATCGAGCACATCGCCGGGCTCCCAGCTGAGGACTTCTGCCTGATATTCCAGCTTTAAGAAGCGCACATCCTGGAAGTGATTCTCTGCCGTTGTCCTTTGGTTATTCTTAAGTTTAAACGTGTGTGCAGCTTGCTTTTGGGTCCAGAGCAGAGTTTCCAGAGGGACAATTGCAGAATCCTTTGGTAACGTCTTCAGGAGCCACTTTCCCGGGCTTTGGACGTGACCGCCATTCAGCTGACTGTCGTCCACACCGGAGATGCCTTTGAGGGCGATCCAAAGGTCTTTAGTCCAGGCGAGGGACACTCCCAGGTGGCCATAATCATGCTGATCATCGCACAGGCCCACTGGACACACAGCAGTGGCCCCCAGATTCAGCAGTCGTTTGTGCAGCTTCTTTGCGGCGTAGTTGAACTTCGGGTAGCTGGAGTCGCCGAGCCCAAGGCATGCGAACTGCATTCCTTGCAGGGACTGGGCGGGCAGGCTGCGCTTCAACAGAAACCGCCAAGCCTGTTTCATATTATCGGGCTCCACGCCATCGCCGGTGGTGGCCACCACAAAGACCACGAGGCGCTCCTCGATAAGTCGCTGCGTTTCGTACTCCTCGAGGGACAGCACTGGACCCTGGAAGCCTAGCAGATGCGACTCCCGCCAGATCTGCTCCGCCACGTCCTGGGCGGTGCCTGTTTGGCTGCCATAGAGAACCAAAAGCCGCATTATTCTATAATTTTGAACTAAAAATATAAATAGTGTGACCAGAGGAATAATAATAAAAAGTCCTACAAATATACTAAAAAGCAACAACTTCACCGTGTTGGTATATTTCAAGCAGTGCATTTTTGGCAATTTTTTATACTACAGTCACACTTGAGTTCCAATGTTATAAATTTGCAAAACAATATCTTAAATTTCGCGTAAAAGTAAGTTTAATCGAAAAGATGCCCCCCAAACAGCCGGATATCCAAGAAAGCAAGAAACTTTCCTGGTTGCTTCGCCACGGAGCCAAGACGGAGAACATCCCCATCACGCTGGACGGCTATGTCAGCGTGTCCGACCTGGCGAAGCATCCGCGCTATAAATGCTTTTCTTTGGAGAAACTGCAGGCGATTGTGTCCGCGGACGCCAAGCAGCGATATAGTCTGCGCTGGAATAAGGATCGCGGCGTCCATGAGATCCGCGCCAACCAGGGTCACTCGCTGTCTTCGGTGGTGGACAGCGAGGAGAGCGGTCTCGAGAAACTGACTAATCCGACTCTCCTGGCGGTTCACGGCACCTACTACAGACACTGGGAGGCAATAAAGGACCAAGGTCTGAGCAGGATGAGTCGCAACCATGTGCATTTTGCCAGCAGCGACAGAACGGAGTCCACCCTGAGTGGGTTCCGCGGCAATTGTCAGATTCTGATATATCTCGACACCGCCAAGGTGCTCTCGGATGGCATACCGATCTACCGATCCAGCAATGGGGTGCTCCTCTGTCCCGGCGTCGAGGGCATCATAGCCACATCGTACTTCGAACGAGTGATTGACAGGAGAACGGGGCAGCCGATGGCTTACTGACTTGCTCACCTACTGTCTTTATATTTCGTTACTGAATAAAATATTTAAGCGAACAAAACGATAATCCCAATCGCAAACCCTTCTTGCAGACAATGCCGGCCCCCGCCTCGGAACAGTGGGATAGCGGCGACGTCGTGGTGCAGGTGTGCATGGTGTGCGCCGCCCCGTTCCAGAGCGTACAGGACTGCTTGGCCCACGAGCTGCTGAAGCATTCCAGCAAGCCGCAGAAGCAGCTGCGTCAGCGTCTCAATGCCATCACCAAGCTATTTACAAGCAAGCAAACCCAGTCGGAGCGTAGCGAGCTCCAGGCTGTGCTCGTTCAGTCGCCGCCCGGCGGTCACCTCCGCGCAGTGCTGGACTTCTATGCCAGCGATCTCAGGGAGTTGGAGGACTACTACGACCAAGTACGCAACTGCATCGAAAAGGAGCTGAAGGGCAAGGTTAAGGTGTATCCCTTTGGTTCGCTGGTCACGGGCTTGGCCCTGAAGGGTGAGTGCCTCCAGTTGCCTGCCTCCGAGAGTCTGGTGTGCTTAACCCGTGTTCTTGCCCGCAGAGAGCGACATCGATTTGTATCTGCAGCCATGCGATGACCCGCCGCCCATGGTCCACAAGCAGCTGTACAACAAGGTCTCGAATTTCCTGCGACGCTCCAAGTGCTTCGCAGACGTCTTCGCCATTCGCCACGCCCGTGTGCCCATCATCCGGTGCAAGCACCTGCTGACCGGACTCAGCATCGACATCAATATGTCCAATCCGAATAGTACGTACAACTCCAAGTTCGTGGGCGAGCTGATGCGGCGCGACGAGCGACTGCGTCAACTGGGCCTCTTCCTGAAGATCTGGGCCAAGAAGCTGAAGCTGATTGGGCACGGCAGCATGACCAGCTATTGTCTCGTCAGCATGATAATTGTCAGTCTCCAGGTGCAGAACCTGCTGCCATCCGTCAAGGAGCTGCAGTCATTTTGCCCCCCAGAGAACTTGTGCGGCGTAAACTACGCCTACACCTTGCACTTGATGCCACCGATACCGAACCGGATGAGCACCCAGGAGCTAATCAGGAACTTCTTTGTCTACTACAGCACCGTCGACTTTCAGAAGAGCGTGGTGAGTCCCTTCCTGGGCTGCGTTTTGGACAGGGAGACCACCTTTGGGACGCCGGGCGGCGGATTTCCCGAGTACGAGGCTCAGCTTCAGGCCATGGAGGAGGCGGTAGGAGAGCGCCCGGAGGCCTTCCAGCTGGACCGCAGCATGTGCGTGCAGGACCCCTTCGAGCTGCAGCACAACGTGGCCAAGTCCGTCTCCCAATCGAGTTTATGTTACCTCAGACAATGCCTAATCCTGGCAGCTCAGGCCAGTAGCGATCCGGAGCTGCAGGCGCAACCATCGAAGCTATATGACTACTTGCTATTTGGACTGACGGACAAGTTGGTGGCTAACCAGCACAAGGAGAAACCCACTCCGCCGAAGCAGCCGAAGAAGGAGCTCAAGCACGAGGTGGCGAATCTGCCGATGACCGAGCCAAAGGCTGCTCAACCCGAAGCTGTGGCCACGGAACACGGTGCGCCACCCATTGTGCGAACGCACTTTATCACGCCGACCACCAATGATCTCAAATGCTTGCGCTCCAGCGAGCTGACCCTGACGAGCAGCGGCGAGGGCGCGCGACCGATATACTATTACTGGATGTCCTGCTATGTGGACACCATTAAAGATGTTTTGGCCCAGCTCTACGTCTTGAATATCGAATCGTTGACCGATGAGCCCTACTACCATAGGTGGCGCATCAGCAGCTCCCTGGACACTTGGACGGGACGCTCCTTCCAGCGTGGCTCTGGCCAGTCTTTCTTTGCCCATCAACTGCAGCAGACGATCGAGTTTATGAAGACACGACCTGCAAATCCCGCGTACGCAGTCAACCTGCGCGGCATTCTGACGCTGCTGGCCAGTGATGACTACAAGGAGATACGGCTGGACGTGGAGCCACTGCCGGGCGACCTGCTTGGCCTGCAGCGGAACAGTCCACTGACCAAGCTGTTCAAGGCGTTCAAGAACCTGCTGGGCAACTATAGCTTCAAGGAGAAGGCGAGTACATGGAAGTATTACGCCAAATCCGACCAACGGGGGGCTCAATAACAAGCACACAGACATACATAAACGAATATGTAAACCTCGATGTACAAAAACTTTTAGAATTGAAAGCCTGTAGCTATGTAAGCCTTTATGTACAAAATCTATTAGAACTGGAAGCCAAGTGGGCTTTCAATTACAAAAGTTTTTGTACATAAAGGTTTACATCATCTTTGCTGGACATTGCTTTTGAACAGAATTTCTTTATATTTTAATCAGGCTTAGAATAAATTAAATGTCTACAAATCATGGTAATTAGTGTTAAGCTACAAAATATAAACTTAAATTTATTATACAAATAAAATAATATATTTATTGGCTGAAGAGTCTCTTAGAGCGCAGAGTGTACGTTATTTACAGGGTTTGAGGCAACGTGCCTATAATAACAAGATGCATAACGGCTAGGCATACATAAATCTAGAATTTCTAGAGCTCTCTCTGTCTTTTGAATAAAATTTCAAGAGAGCTTAGAGTCGTAAAGCGTTACTTATCTTCTTATTACACGTTTTTTGCTTAAGGATATACACGGGGATTTTTTAGAAACTCTACAGATAGATTTTAAAGACAATAGTTGGGGAAACTGGAAAAGGATGTGCGGAATCACAGAGATTTGTAATTTCCAGGTATTGCAAATAAGAGTTATGTGTACAACAAAAATTGATAAAACTTAACAACAAAAATAAAATGTAAATTGCAATAACCTAACACTGGGTGGTCTATTTAAAAGTTTATTCATATAATTAATTAACGCTTTAATACCTTTTGTTTGATGTATGTTTTGCTTTTTGGAATTAAAATATTCTTAAAGGATCAAGATATTTCAATTTATCACCCTATGAATCGCTGTTACATTATATTATAGATTTTAAATAAGCCGCAATTTAATTTTAATTTTTAAAGTAAAAGTAGTATTATCAACTTCATTTTTGTCAATTTTTACTTTAATCATAGCTCTATTTGCAATCCCTTGTAATTTCGAATACTGCTGTCAAAATTAAGCAATTACATTGCTTACATTTATGTTTTTTGTATGCCTCCATAAGACTATTCTTGTTTTTTGTGAAAACTGTACTATAATTAATCACCTTCATTGCTTCCGCAAGTATTGTTTTTAAAATCTCCCCGGGTTACAGGCAGAGATTCGCTATATACATATATTTGCCAGATTCGCACCTGGTTAACGGCACTTGGGCACTAGCCTTTTTATAATCCTACTCCATCCTCTATCCCTTCTAGTGCCGGCAATAGCAGTACTTCTTGGCTGCAAAGTCCTTCATGCACTCCGACTCGCCGCTGTACACATTCAGCCGACTCACGGATCCCGTAACCGTGACCGAGTCGTCCGTTTGATTGTGACGCACGGTGGCCTCGTACCAGGCCTTGTTCGGCGACGTCACAAAGATCAACCGATAGGTGTGGAAGCCTTCCGGATCAAGGGCATTGGGATGCGCCCGGAAGGCCGATCGGATGCTCTGTAGCGTGAGTTTAGCACAGAGTTTGGCATACGTTCCGTTCCGGAATTCGGCCACATATGTGTTCAGGTAGGACACCACTCGCTTGCCCAGCATCCGCGTTTCCCGCGACGTGCTCGACACAGTGTCGTAGGCCCAACAGGTGCACCAATGATCCTCAATGCCCACGTCGGCGCAGCTCCTTAGCGGAGAGACGGGTCGCAGGAGGCTTTGACACTGCGGACAGTCGGGCGCCGGTCCCAGGGAAGCCATGTCCGTTCGCCCGGACAGGGAAAGTATGTGCTTCATGGTCAGATGGAGGTCGTAGGGCGTGGTCAGCCGATTTCTGTTCAGGTGCAGGCTGCGCACAAACTCCGGATGTGACTGACGCAGGTGATGCGGCAGCCAGATGAAGATCGCCGGCAGCCGTTCCTCCAAATGACCCGACCAGGTGGCCCGCGTGGGTCCGAACCTCAGTCCATGGTCGCTGAAGAACACCACCACGCTGTTGTCCATGGTGCCCTGGCGCACCAGCTTGCGCAGATACTCCGCCATGTATTCGTCCATGCTGCTCGTCTGCGATATGTCGCTGTGGCTGTGGGTGTTCGTCCAGAAGAACCCGAAGTACGTCTCGTTCAGGTACCGACGCGTGAACTCCAGCGCGTAGTCATAAACATGCTCCGCGGCTGTCTCATAACCGAGGCAGTGTATCAGGCCATTGACCACCGTGTGATCCAGCAGCTTCTCGGCGGCGGAGAGATACGGACGTAGGTAATAGTCCGCCGGCGGATGCTCGAACCCCTTCTTCAAGTAGTTGAATGTGTTGATTTTCACCGCATCCTCCGCGTAGGCGGTGACATAGCCATGCTCCTTGTACTGCTTCCAAATGAAGTTGCACTTGTCCAGGCCACCGACCACATACGGGGAGCACTCATGCTGGGCATTGTGCAGGTTATAGCCGGTGGCCAAGGCCATAATGTTAGGGAATGTATTGTCGTCCACCTGAAGGGGTCATGGGGGAAATGGATCTTATAGTTTGGAATTAGTATAATTCAACCACAAAGTCACCTTGTTGTATCCTGCCAGCTCGAACCACTCGTTGTCGTACAGATACTGGGCCGTCTTGGGCATGGCCCGGATGAGATTCACACGTGAAATACTATCGATTCCCAGCATGAGGACACTGGGCGGTCGTCGTGAAGCCTGGCGTTTGTCTGTCTTGGCCTCCTGGAGTCGCTGTTGGACCGCGTCCTTGACGGGAATAGTGGCATGACCATTGATGTAGATCTGCTTCCCACCCGTGTTACACTTGACGATTATGTCTTCGACGGAATTGGGCAGCTCCGTAGACCCCTTGAAGTTGTGGCACGTGGTGTAGTTGACCTCCATCTCATTGACCCGCTGCACGGCCATATAGCAGCAGTGGAGATTGCTAGCCACCGGATACTGGTTGAAGGCGGCTCCGTCGATGGTTAGGAGGTACTTCTGAGAGCGCTCCTGGAATCGCACCCGGGTCAGTGGCGGCAACTTCTGGCAGGACTTGTACTTGACCCGCTTGAAGTGACGCATCACCTCGCTCTTGTACGGATCCAACTCCATGATCCGACACGAGTTGCTGTACACGAGGTAGCCTTCCGGCACAAATGGAATACTACTGTCAAAAATTGTGTCATCTGGGGACATAACACGGACACGGACCATCACATGCATCGAAACAAGGAAATAAGGCAACAAAAAAGGAAAATTGAAAACCATAACTATGGGCATGCAGGAAGGAGGCAACATAAAAAGTGATCAAGGATATGAATTACTCACCATCCATGACCGTGGACTGGTGCTGGACTGTCAGGATATTATCTCCGTGCAGGACATCCAGGTCAAGGACATTCGCCCAGTCGGGTCGTCCGATCACAAAGTAACAGAACACAAAGGCCACCACCAGGCAGAGCACCGACTTCCGGCGAAGGAAGAGCAGCCGGCAGCCGCCGGGCAGCGACTGGTGCTGCATCGCCTGTAGGACGACGCCCTTTCGTCGGGTCATTTGTACTTCCAGTTTCTCCGTCGTCTCTGAGGAATCCGATCGCTCCAGCAGAAGGCGTTTCTCTGCCATAACATTTAAGCTCGCGGCTATTAATAGTAGATTAAGGTTTAATAAATTGATATATTTTATTACTTTTTAAATTTAATGAAAACCAAACCTATTTAGTTTGGAAATATAAATATTTGACAGTGAATAGTTAAGTGTTTTTGCTCTGTCTTAAGGTGTTTCTAGCAGTTTAAGCAGTTAATATTAATATTTACTAATTGAATTACACAACTGGGCACAGCTTTAAAAACAGAAGGAAGCCAAAAGTACACATACTTTTCGACTAATGAGTTTGTCAGCTGCCCCTGAGATTTCTGTAAATCGAATACTTTGTTTACTTTAAAAGCAAACAGCAAAGTCTGCAATTAATATGTATAAACAAGATGGTAGTGGAGGAAATGGAAGGGGTGAACCTACACATAAAAATTATATAATTAATATATTTATATATATTTTATTTAAGAGGATTTGAAAAGCACGCAATGTTTTTTCTTAGCTATTTTCTTTTTTTTGAAATGTTTTTACATGATTTCTCAAAATTGAGTTGATCAATCGCCCTGAAATTTATGGGTTATTTTAAGCATAAGTGGGGCTATCGCATGGGTTAGGATAATTGGAAATAGTCACGGTGTTTTTATTAACCACAAAACAGGAAAATAAAATCAAATTAAAAGTTACGTAAAACTTTAATTTTTTAAAAACGTACGTCAGTTAAGGCTACAGTCGCAGTCAAGACCAAAGACCAGACCTTTTTCTAAGTGTATTACATTGCTAATTTCCTTAAGACAAAACATAAAAAGATCATTAAGATTTCTTCGAAAGGAAAATACATGTATGTATGTATATTATTAAATAATTATGAAATCTTCAGAAATAAATTTGATTCTTAGAATGAAAAAAGAAAAATACAAAGGTTTAATTGACAGACTTACCTTTAAAAATGCTTGTTGAAGTATTCGTGGGTTTATTCCAGCAAGATCGTTGATTCCGCAACTGAAATTTAAAAACAGACCTCTGATCACTTGCTGACAAATGCAAAATGGTTTATTATTGTTTTTTTCGTTACTCTAAAGGTCAGTTTTCTGATTTCCATAGTAAACAATGAATAAATTACAATGTCTTGGGTTTTTAAGCTGGCAAAAAAAATTATAGACAGATGCGTTTTTAATTGCAAATGTCCGGAATATTAAGAAATTCAAAACTAATTTTGAATGATGCTGACTTAAGCTATTATTTAATAAGATTTTTTACTAATTTGAGTTAAAGTCTAAAAGAAAAATAATATTTTAATTATTTATATATATAGAAGATTGTGTTGATAGAAATCTCAGCTTTTACAACCACTATACACTCATATATAATTTAAAACGACTCCACTTGTTTACCTTATCATTCATCTAAGCTATTGATAATAAAATTTGTTCATCTGTCGTATTTACCCGTGGTTTTCCGGTTCAAAAAAACGTGGCTGTTTTCCACCAACCATTATTTTCGTGTTTAAAAACATTGAACACTTTACACGATGGTATTTATTTGGTTTGCCAATTGTTGTGCCTTAGCCAAAATAATATAAATAACATTTAGTTTGGCCCTGAGGGATGGGATTAATTGATGAAAATGCAGCAGCGTCTGCTGCTAAAATGCAGTGCCGCCGAGCGAATAGTCAGCGGTCCGAGCACTATGACGGCACAAACGCGAGTGCGACGAGGCCCCCCGCTCAGAAATAAGATTCGGATTCGGAATGGCATTGGGTATAGGGGTCTGGGGCTCTGGTCGCTTGTGATGGGAACCGAATGGGGAAGTGAGTGAGTGAGTGAGTGAGTCTACCGATGGATCAGCGCTTCGCCGGCATTATTTCATCGATCACGACATAGTGAGTTCGGCGGTCATTAGTTTTTGTATTTTTGTATTTTTGCATCTTCGTGCTGTTGCGATGATTAGATATTTTGTTGTGTTAATGCCTGGACACGTCTTCGTAGACGTCTAAATATAATTAAAATATTAATACCCAGTACTAGGAAGAGTAAAGAGTGTACTAGGATAGGGGTCAAAGGGAAGTTGCCTTATAAGAAATGTGCCTAAAATATTACTTTTGGATTTTATTTTTAAATATCTTAGACAATTTGTAGATTTAACTTTTTCTGTACACTCCTGCCCACAATTATACGACACCCCGAAAACTTTAGTTTCGACTCTCGTAGGAAAGTCGGGAAGCATATTACAACAAATTCAAGTATGCAGAATTAAAGCTTAATGAATTCTGCTTAAAATATGATTTTTTTATCTTTGATTGGACCCCCCGTTTTTAAGTAGCGTTAAAAAAAGCAGAAAAGCCCGATTTTTGCCATGCCGGAAACTGTATCATAGCTATACGACATGTTTCAATTATAACGGCTACAGGTAATTATTTGGTTTCAAATAATTTTTTTTATGTTTCTGGTAACAAATTAATGAATTGGAAATAAAATGCCAAGATGCTGTTTGTTATCCGACGAAAAAAAGGGAAGAATAAGGGCTTACAACGATGCTGGCTTTAATGTAACCGAAATATCGCAGAAAATTTATCAAATACGTTGTCTTATCCCATTTTTTTTTTTAATTCGGATGAATATGGAGTGAAGCAAAGCTCTGGAAGGATCCCAAGTTGCCCGACCGCCATGAACATCGCATAATTCTTAGATTTAGCTATTCGATTGCTTGGAGCGCCACACTTGCCGCTAGTTGCAGTCAGCCTGTGTCACGAATGACTGTCTGGCGGACACTGAAATCATCGTAGTACATAGTCAGAGTAGTCTTAAAGACGGCTCAGTTCTTAAAAATTAGCTACAAAACAGAACAACTTAAATTTTTAGGAAAAAATCTTGAAGACACTGGGGGTCAGTATGACATTTTAACTTATTTTTGATTATACAGTTTTTTTTCAATATTTTTTAGCTAGATAATTTTTTCTGATGAAAAAAATGTTTATCTTGACGGCCCAGATCGGTTTTGACACTATTGGACAGATTTACATGAGGTTACACTTATTTTTTCAAAACGCTGTTTCGGGGGAGCCTTTCATGCGTCTTAAGCGCTTGATCTGTGCTTCCCAGATCCAAGATGAATAGTGGAGAATACAAAAAAGTATTTCATGATCGTCTTCTAACATTTTTGGAACAACATATGGAAAAATATCATGTTTTTATGCAGGATTCACCAAGTTAGAGAGACCCAGCGCTACATAAATAATCACAATATAAGAGTTTTGGGTTGGCCACCGTGCTCCCCTGGCTTGAATTTAATTTAAAACATTTGGTTTACTTAAGTCAGGCGAGCTTAGGCCAATAACAAGAAATTTTAGAGTGTCAAGACCCTTAAAAGTGATATTTTGGGTCAAAAGTTTCCATTATACCAATATTTACCTAAAAAGTTTGTTAATTCAATGCCTAAGAGACTTTTTGAGGTTGCCAAGGCTTAAAGTGGCTCTATTAATCATTAAACAATTTTTTATATACCATTATAATTATAAAATATTAAGTAAATCGAAAAAATTGACATGTGTCGTATAGCTATGATACAGTTTCCGGCATGGCAAAAATCGGGCTTTTCTGCTTTTTTTAACGCTACTTAAAAACGGGAGGTCCAATCAAAGATAAAAAAATTATATTTTAAGCAGAATTTAATAAGCTTTAATTCTGCATACTTGATTTTGTTGTAATATGCTTCCCGACTTTCCTACGAGGGTCGAAACTAAAGTTTTAGGGGTGTCGTATAATTGTGGGCAGGAGTGTATTATTTTTTAACCTTTATACGTACCAAAACATTATTTTAACCAAATAGAATTTACCATTATCTTGGCCGGCACTAAATGTTCACATTCTTCACTTTAATACGGTTTTAAAAATGTATTTCTATGCGGGTTTTGCGATAAAGTCACTGCCCCCATTTAATGAAACGGAACCAAGATAACATACAAAAAAAAAACAAACATAACATACTAAAGTGTATTTCTCAGACAGGAAATGCTGTGATAAATGTGATGTACAGAGTTTTTTAAACTGAATAGGAATATTTAAGTTAGGTAAACGCTAAAAAAGTAATAAATGTAAATAGAGCAGTTTGTAAGTCGCCAAATTAAATGTAATTATTTATTTTCAGGCATCGTAATTACATGGATATTGTAAAGAAAACATAAAATTTCAATGATTGATAAGCTATAATAAATTAAATAATTAAAATAAAGCAAATAATTATTTGTTAACAAACAGATAAAATAGGGATACAAATTCCACAAATTTATCTTTTAAATTCCAGCATGAATATGAAAGACATATGCCCAAAAGTACCTATTTCCCGTATAATAACAAAGCCAAAAGACTTTCTACTTCTACGAAACCATTTATTTTCATTTCTCATCACTTCTTACTTGTGATGTCTATGCCCATATTTAGCTTAGAAGACAGATCAAATTTCGATTACTCCCTTCGCTCTATGACATCTAACACTCAGACCGTAGTCGTGTAATTAACAGTGTTTATCTAATTGAATATCCAGTTGGCGTTCGAAAGCCTTAACTATGATTCAATAGACTCAAACAAAGAGGTCTGCCATGAAGACCGATAGCACTTTGGCGTGTCTTTTGGAGAATAGCACTCGTGCATCAAGATAATGCATTGAATGCTAATGGCAAATACACTTGGGATGGCTATTCAGCTGGGCAATATACATATGTATATAAAGCAATATAAGGAATATAATAATAATGAAAATGTGGGGCCAATGCAAGTGGAATGGGGGTGAAGGGCGAATGCGACGATGCAGGCCACTTCTGTAAAAGGATGTGTGTGTGCGTGTGCAAGTGTTTCGAGGACATGTATTTTTGCTGTGGCAAATTTATACATCACAAGATCCCTGCCAACCATTTGGCGATTCTCGAATCGCCGGTCGCCAGAAAGAGTCTTCTGGGAGTCGCTTTGGCGATCATTGGTGAAATAATTTTCGAGAATCCCGAAGAAGAGTCTTCTGGGAATCGCGGTGGCGATTGTTGATAGACTTATTTACGAAAATCCCCAAAAAGAGTCTTCTGGGAGTCGCTTTGGCGATTGCTGGATGACTGTTTACGAAAATCCCCAAGAAGAATCTCCTGGGAGTCGCTTTGGCGATTGGTGGAGGACTTATTTACGAAAATTCCTAAGAAAAGTCTCCTGGGAATCGCGGGGGCGATTATTTGGCGATTTTTTAAGCAGCGTTAAAAACTAGGAAATGAAGGAATGAGGGATTAAAGTACCGTACATAGATGCAAAGCAGAGAATGCGTCCGAAAGCAAAAGAGTTATACAAAAACAAATTGCATTACATTTGAGTGAGAATAGGAGTAACAACCGAACGTCTTTCAATATTTCTGTGTTCATTTAGTCTGACTTCGATCTTTTGTCTTTGCGGTCGATCTATATGTAAATTTCAATTGTTCGGTAAACTATTTTTGTTTTATTTATTTGTTTTTTGTTTTATATTCTTTGGAACTAAAATGAGTTCCTAATCTAAGGCAAACGAATGTTTGATGCTATTTATCCTGAGCCTTGTGAAAAAAAAGAAGAAACATGTGAAACAAGTGAAAGAAGTGAAACAAATAATGAAACTGACTTGGCGAGGAACAAATACAAAACGTATTTTCAACGATAAAAGGTATTATTTAAAATAGTAAAATAAATAATTGAAATTAATTTAATTTTAATTTTCTTTTGTATAGGTGTTGGTTTATGAAAGTTCCCGAATTCTTTTGGATTTGTTCATGCGCAGGATAGAATAAATAAGAAACAAAAAAAACTTAAAAATGAAGGAAAAGAAAATAAATATTTTAAATTTAAGCTTAGTTATGTCGAAAAATTATGAAATTAAATAAAGAATGACAAAAATAAAAAAACAAAAACAAAAAAATTAAAAACTCTTATACTCTCTTAAGGCGACACTTCAGCGACTCTTCCACAAGACTCTTCCGCGAGTCTTCCATAAGACTCCTCTGGGACTCCTTCAGAAGAGCCCCCCGCGACTCCCTTAGAAGAGTCGCATTCGTAGGTACATTTTCTCCCAACAGAAGATTGGAAAGCGATCAGAATGCGATGTCGCAGGCGATCAAATTAATCTTCTAGAAGAGTCGCAGGCGACTCTTCCGCGATTGAAATGGTTGGCTGGGGAGTGTTCGGGTGTGAGTGTGTGTGTATATGTCCCAGGAGGGGTGTTTTTTGGGGGCGGTGGCGGGTGAGTGTGTCAAGTTCCATTGAGGCGAAATGCTTCTGCTGCAGCGTCAGCGTAAAATTGCAATCGTTTTGCGGATACGGATACGGATACACAGATACAGATACAGATACGGGGACTCACAGATACACAAACACAACAAACACGCGAAAGCGCTTGCCAACGTTTTTCCGGACGCACTTGGAAATTTTGTCAACACCCTGCGTTAGCCAGGATTCATCCAATATTTAGGCCACACACTCACTTGGTCTTGGTCTTGGACTGGGACTCATCGTCGCACCATATTGATTGCAGCAAATACACAAATATTTGTTGTGTGATTTTCAGCAGCACCTCCTTAGCTAGGAGTCGGCGATGCGCGACTCCGGCCGTAGCCCTTAGTCCTTGCTAGCGGAACGGATAATACGAGCGCACACGGGTACGAGTGGCCTGCCAGCGAGCAGCGCGCAGCGTTCCCTGCTCCTCCGACGACCAAGGGGCGAATGACGATGAAGCCACGACCCGTTGCCCAAAGCCGATGTGAGATTTTTTACACTCTCGTCGTCGGAGCAGCAGCAGTAGCCAGTGCACAGAGAAAAATTTTTGGTTTGAGATGTTTTTAGATGTTTTTATGTTTTTTATTTACTATTCATTAGGTTTAGGATGCTGCAATCAGATTTATTAATATTTTAATTCATTTATTTATTTATCGATATAAACAAATAAATTATAATGTATTTACTTGCTTAATTAATAACATTTTACATTTTAGCTAAATTAAAATCATATTTTTTCGCAATCTTATGTCCGCCTGTATAATAAATCCCTCTTAAAATTTATTTTTTCCCACTGGAAGAATATTTTAACTGACCACTGATGACCATTAACGATTACGTAATACATATGGGCGTAACCCAAGGATTCGCTGGCCAGCCTCGCCCCGAAAATCAGGAAGAGAAGAAGCGATAAAAATTTTAATTTGAGTGATACAGGCAAAATATCGATATGTTTCGTGTGATATCATGACTGTGATATCATCGTTAGTTGCGACGCCTTTTTTTTGCGAGTGCAGCAGCAACAGCTACACACTCGTGCTGCACTCTTGGTGTGCGTTGCCCGAAAGTATGCAATGTTTATTTGCCAATTGTCAGTCGCACAGTTTGGCACTCACTGAGCTTGCGCAGTTTGCAAGCAATTTTAGCACGTGCTGCGCCGCTATTTTGCACGCTCTCCCCCACTCTCCCACTCTCTTGGCGCCATCGCTGTTTCGGCACACTCCCTCCACACACACTTGTTGGTTCTGTACGTTTGGATGTGTGTGCTTGGAGGGTGGGAGGTATTTTCGCCAAGTGCCTGCCGGAAAATTATAGCAAGGTGCCGCTGATTATCCGCAGGCAAGGTCGTTCGCAAAAAATAAAATAAAACAAAAACAAAAGAAGAAACAAAACAGTAAACTAAGGAATGGAAAGTAAGGTAAAAAAAACTAAGGTAGGTTCGAAATTTAGTAGGTAAACTCACTATTATTATGTATAATATAACCCTTTCTTAATATATTTAAGTGTTTGGGCACTCACTTTATTTAAATTACATTTTAAAATAGGTTTTTAAAGGATTTCGGCACTTTTTTTTATCGTGAAACACTTGAATTCTTTTTTTTTGATTACAACTTTTGGGTTTTAATATAGTTTACTTTATATATACGAAAAATATTTAATGTTCAATGTTTTTGTGTTGTATTAAAATCACATAAGATGTGTTTTGACACTAATAAATTAAATAATATATAATAAATGTTTAATACGAGAGCCCGAAAATAAATGCGAGAACTCTTAACCAGACCGAAGAACTGACCGCAACAGACTAAGAATATGTGGCATTACTATATAATATAGGGATTTATGGTTAGCTGACAAACACAAATGGAATTCAAGCATTTGAATATTTATTCAAAGACATCTCATCTCTAGTGTTTGGGAAAAAATAAACAATATTGACAAGGTTGAATTTTATTTGTTAACAAAAATTAGCTAAAAAAATTGCAATTATTAAATTAAGATGCTGATATTGATTTAATTATAAATAATAATAATAATAATACAGTACTAATATCAATAACAAATTGAAATAAATTAAAGATAAGAATTAAAACAAAAAAAAAACAAAGATTTTTAATCTGCATTTAGATTTCGATAAGCTTTAATGATTATTTACTCTTTCATCTGTATTTTAATAAAATATAAAGATGAAAGGAAGGTAACGTTATGGAGTCAACATTTAAATTACTTTAACAGTGGTTTAAAGGATCGGAAATGACTCCTACACTGCTTTATAAACTCCAGACTGAATTTATTAATACCCTGCAAGTGTATAAAAATACTCTTTTCATTCAGACCTAATTTTATAAAGACACTTAATGGTTTAATGCATTATCAAAAATCTTAATCAAATCCTTAATCACTTTAATAAACAAAACCAAATATAATCGGATTTCCGCAAGTGCCATTTTATGTTTTGAATCAATTTAATTATAGCCAAGTCCCAGTGTTTTCAACTGATTAATGAATATTTATGACGATAATATAGAATTAAATCTGACTTATCTAAAAACTTTTGAATGGGCGTGGCACTTTGCACTTGTTTTCGATACTGTGTGTACATCCCATTGGTATTGTAAATATTTAAATCTAATCAAGTTTCGATGAAGCAGAGATAGTCTCAACAAGAAGTCGTAAATCTTGGAAAAAGAATAATAATCAGGTTCAAAATACAAATATACATTTTTTACTTTTCATGTTCTATTTATAAATAGAAGCCTTGGGGCTTTGGATGGGTTACAAAGAAGAGTAAATACTTGTCGTATAGTTTTATTGGAAGATAAATATTTAAAATTCTAAGAATAATACTTAATAATACTTACAAAATACACAGAGCTTTAATGTACAGAATAATTTAAATACCCGAGAAAATAAATCGCAGCAAATAAAACAATGTTTGATTTTAAATGTACTTGTTGAATCTTTAAAATATCTTATATGGCTCGTATCTTTAAAAATATCAATTAAACATACTACCAATTTAATTTTATTTTCAGTAAGTTATAATGTTTATTTTTTCTGTGTAATGTTTAAGCAGAATTTTAGTTCTAATTGCTGGTAATATTTCTCACTATCTTCTAGTTTTCCAACTAACACTCCACTATATCCTCTTGACCTGACTCCATTCATTAGCTGCTTCAGAGTCAAGACTAACAGCCCTGGCAGTGGCTTGCTTAGTCAGTCCAGAAGTTGTCCAATATAATAAAGCGTCTAGGCTTATCGGCCACTTGTTCGCACTGACTCTGATTATATATGACCCATTCTGGCTTCTGGCTCTGGGTATAAATACGCCAGAGAAGTCCATTGATACCTCAAGTTGTTCCAGCAACATGAAACTGTTTTTAGCTATTCTGGCTCTGGCCGTGGCTTCGGCCTCCGGCTCCGCCATGCCCCGTGGCTCCAGCTCCTTCCAAAAGGTCCACACCAAGGACATGCAGGGTCGCATCACCAACGGTTACCCTGCTGAGGAGGGCAAGGCTCCCTACACCGTCGGCCTGGGCTTCAGCGGCGGCTGGTGGTGCGGTGGCTCCATTATCGGCCACGAGTGGGTCCTCACCGCCGAGCACTGCATCGGAGATGCCGACTCCGTGACCGTGTACTTCGGCGCCACCTGGCGCACCAACGCCCAGTACACCCACTGGGTTGGAAACGGCAACTTCATCAAGCACAGCAACGCAGACATCGCCCTGATCCGCATCCCGCATGTGGACTTCTGGCACATGGTCAACAAGGTGGATCTGCCCAGCTACAACGATCGCTACAATGACTACAACGAGTGGTGGGCCGTGGCCTGCGGCTGGGGCGGCACCTACGACGGAAGCCCGCTGCCCGACTACATGCAGTGCGTGGACCTGCAGATCATGCACAACTCCGAGTGCTCCGGCTACTACGGCACCGGCACCGTCGGCGACAATATCATCTGTGTGCGCACTCCCGATGGCAAGTCCACCTGCGGCGGCGACTCCGGCGGCCCCCTGGTCACCCATGACGGCACCAAGTTGGTGGGAGTCACCAACTTCGGCTCGGTTGCCGGCTGCCAGTCGGGAGCTCCTGCTGGCTTCCAGCGTGTCACCTATCACTTGGATTGGATCCGCGATCACACCGGAATTGCTTACTACTAAATATTGAACATCGATTGAATAAAGAATACTTAAAGTGCAATGCCTAATTAATTTATTAATAACTTTATTATGGGAAGTACAAATTTAGGAAATTAATGGGTAGATTCCCCAAAAGCGGAGAGATTAACTCTTAGCGAGAAAACAGTATAATTCTTGGATATATGTATCTCCCTCTTCATCTGAAAGAAAAACTATGCTAAGATTAAGAACCATTTCTATATTTTATAAATTAATTTAATTTATTTATATTATTTATATGAAGCTACATATTTAGTCGTTCAACTTTTATAAAAATAAAACCAAAAAATTATAGAATCAGAAGTTAAAATTTTGTTCTATTAATTTCCCGATTGTTTCTTTGACAGAAATACATATATTTTAATTTTTATAAAATGTAAACCTCATTTTTAGATCTACAAAAAGTTATCATATTTCAGAATAGAAAAAATTTATAATTATAAAATGAAATGGAAGAAATGTATACAAAATATAAATACATTTTAAATGTTATTCATTTTATACGGTAATTTGTTGAAATTTATAAATTTCACCGTAATTTAATTTAATTTTCCCAACTTCTCAATGCCATCTAAATGATAAGTTAACTCCCATCACAAAAACATCAAAAATTGCTCTTCAAATATAATTTATTCAATCGTTGGCCAATATTTAGTAGTAAGCAATACCGGTGTGGTCGCGGATCCAGTCCAAGTGGTAGGTCGTACGCTGGAAGCCAGCGGGATGACCAGCCTGGCAGCCGGAACCAGACACCCAGTTAGTGACTCCCACCAGCTTGCTGCCGTCATGGGTGACCAGGGGGCCGCCGGAGTCTCCGCCACAGGTTCCCCTGCCGTCGACCACGCGGATGCAGATGATGTTGTCACCAACGGTGCCAGTGCCGTAGTAGCTGGCGCACTCGGAGTTGTGGATGATCTGGACGTCGGCGCACTGGAGCCAGTCGGGCAGGGGGCTGCCGTCGTAGGTGCCGCCCCAGCCGCAGGCCACGGCCCACCACTCGTTGTAGTCGTTGTAGCGATCGTTGTAGCTGGGCAGATCCACCTTATTGACCATGTGCCAGAAGTCCACATGCGGGATGCGGATCAGGGCGATGTCGGCGTTGCTGTGCTTGATGAAGTTGCCATTTCCAACCCAGTGGGTGTACTGGGCGTTGGTGCGCCAGGTGGCGCCGAAGTACACGGTCACGGAGTCGGCGTTTCCGATGCAGTGCTCGGCGGTGAGGACCCACTCGTGGCCGATAATGGAGCCACCGCACCACCAGCCGCCGCTGAAGCCCAGGCCGACGGTGTAGGGAGCCTTGCCCTCTTCAGCCGGGTAGCCGTTGGTGATGCGACCCTCAATCTTGGAGACCTTAGGCAGGTCCTTGGGGTGGACCACGCTGTTGATGGCGGAGGCGGAGGCCGAAGCCACGGCCAGAGCCAGGATAGCTACGAACAGTTTCATGTTGCTAGAACAACTTGGTTTGCATGGGCTCGCGTTGGTGATTTTATACCCACGGTTATCGCGATCGTAAAACTCTGTTTTGATAATTGACGAGATAATTATTAAAGTGAAATACTAAATCAAAATCTCTAATCACAAGTGCCTGTTTCCTATGCGTATTTGTTTGTCCGATTAGCTGGGACCTATATTTTATGCAAGGAAGTTAATATCACGTATACGCCCCTTTATTCTAGTAACTAATAGAAAAAAAGGGTATTATAAATTGGAGTCTACCGAAAATATTACAGGAAGAATACTATAAAAGATCGTTGTATTCTATATATTATGCTATATATAAATTATTGATAACCAGGCGAGTTCTTCCCATCTGCCACCGAATTTAAGGACAATAGATCTTAGAGACTGTACGAGTTTGAGTAACTGATTAACATTATTTATATGAGAGTCATTAAAGTTTGCAGCAAAATAAATATACAATTATTTAATAGAGAAATTTAGTGTATTACGATGATTATGAAAGGAGTTAAAAGACCATAATGAAATCTTGGAACCTTCTATCTTCGATCTTTTTCGCTAAAATGAGTTTATGTTGGTCCGATGTTATTTTAAAAGTTGTTATCCACATTTTAAATTTCTTAGAATACCTTTTTAAACATTTAAAAGTTAACTATTAATAGTAAATAAAACAATAATTGTATTTAACTAAATTTCGCCTAAAAGAAGGCAATATTTCTTCAATCTTTTTTTCTTACAGTTTAAAAGTCACGATTAGTCTTAGAGCCATGCTTATCAAAGGTTTAAGTTTCTTAATAATATTTAAAATTTAAAGACAACTTTTAGACAACTTGGTGGTAATATATTTATTAATTTATGTTATAAACTATTTCGCATGAACTCAAAAAAACAGATGCTTCTTCCAAGTTGTTTTTAAATCTAAAATGTATAAACTAAAGCAGAGAAATGTCTCTAAAAGGTCTTTTTAGAGACATGAAAACTATTACAAAATTAATTTATTTGATTTTTGATTATATCAAGTCAAATTATAGAATTAATTCAACTACTCCTCTTTAATTTTTCAACCCACAAAACCCATTCCAGTCAAAACACATATTTATTATTTTTTCAATAGTTTTCTAAAAATAGATTTTTTATTGTCATTTCATTCGTTGTGTTTTTTGTTGTTACTTTTTTTTTTTTAGTTTTACCGTGATGCGTCTTGACTTTGAGAAAAGCGTGTGAGGGCCACTCACACCTACATACATTTAATAAACTATATAGGGGTTATATGATCTGATTGCGCTATGTTAGCTTTAGATACCCTACGTTTCTTTAAAGGCATTTCCGTTTCGTTTATCATGTACATCGAACACGTTTACTCTTATTTACAAAATATTTATCGATAAAAATGCATCATTTCATGGTTTTTCCTTTTTTTCGTCGTATGTTTTCCTTGAATAAATTAGAAAATTTCATAAAACTAGGCTAGATGAAGAAATCTTCCATTCGGGCGAGAGTGTGTGTGTGGTTTTTGTTCATTTTGGGTGATGTTTGGGGGATAAATAAATAGTTTTTTGATGGGCCAGATGAGTAGAATAAATAGTCGAAATGGGGGCGATAGTGTGGGTGTGTGTGTGTCGTTTTAGTGTGTGTGTTTACATGTGCTTTAGGGATGCGCCCAGTGGCGCAATTGACAAACATCACTGGCTCAAAGGGGTGGGACCGGAAGTCCATCCCCCTTGCTAGCAAGGTGGCAATTGGGCGTGGCTTGGGCGCAGCTAAGGTCATAATAAATAAATAAATAAATGTGTAAATATCCACTTAAATGCTAGGCAAAAATCGTGTTTCAATGCGTCTGGGTATATAGGCGATAGTGCTGCGAGTGAGTTGGGTTTGGATGTGGGATTTGGGATGTCGGAAGACAGTGGTTGTTGGCAAAAGCTCGGTCAGTCGCTGACCGGTAGTCCCCGTAGGGGGTCAGGGTACCTCCACATCTCCAAAGGATACTCTCTACCACAGCGGCATGGGACGTTGCCGGGCCAGGAAGGCGGGCAGGCTGGCGGCAGTAGGGGCGGGGCAACCTGTGGGACAAAGTATAGAGAGAGATTATTAATTGTATTCCTTACTTTCCATTTTCCAGGTAAACTTACGGCACACGGCGCAGGTCTGCTCGTCGGTTCCATCGCCGCAGCCATCCCTTCCGGAGCAGACGATGGCCGTGGATCGGCACAAGCCATTGCTGCAGCGGTGCGGGCAGTAGGCATCCGCCTCTCGCCTTCCGCCCAGCAGGCCACCGGCCTCGATCAGGCGCATAAAGAGATTGGGCACGGACCGGGAGCCGCACAGATGTGGCGGCTCATCGCTGCCGTCCTTGCAGGACACAATGGCATTGCAGTACTCGTACTCCGGCAGGCACTCGCCGCTGCCGCAGCGGAACGTGTGCTCCGGGCAGGCGTTGCCTCCTCGGTGGCTGCCATCACAGCCCAGCTCGTCCTCGCCGTGCGGACACTGGCGCCTGCCGTCGCAGAGCGCCGCCCGTGAGATGCAGCGGCCGCTGCGCTGGCAGCGGAAGGACTCCGCCGGACAGCTCTGGTTCAGGCGGGCATTGTGGGTGCACTCCTCGTCGGAGGCGTCATTGCAATCGGCCCGGCCGTCGCACACGAAGAACCACGAGATGCAAACGCCGCTGGAACGGCACTAGGAGAACACCAAACATTATTTCTCTCTCTTTAAATTCTGGAAAATCTAGCACTCACCTGGAAGGTTCCAGGACTGCATCCGGTTCTCTCGGCACCACATTGCGCTTCCTCTCCGCTGGCGGAGCAGTCACACACACCACGTGCATTGCAAACGGTGTTAGGATCAGCAAGCTGGCACTGGCGATCGCTGCTGCAGGCTAATCCCAGGGATACCGCCTCCAGGCCAAGATCCACGCGCTTGCGCAGCTCCGAACCGGGTTTGCTGGCAACGGGAGCAACGGAAGCCGGGGACACGGGCTCGGGAGTGGGTTCGTCAGCGGCAGTCATCAGGGGCATCAGAGTAGTCACCACGGGAGCAGCGGGCTCCATGAGGGTCACGCGGCTGGCCAGGCCCAGCATGGTCTGGGTGGTGATCTCCACAATGTCGGCGGGATTCGGAGTGGCTTCCTCGTGGGCAACGTTATGAGCCACAGGCTCCTCCTCAATGTGATTGCTATCCAGCTCCTGGAGGCCATCGATGCTGGTGGTGGACTCCACGATCAGGCTATCGGATTCCAGCTCGTTAAAGCGGATGGGAACGGATTGATCAATGATGTCGAAGGGCAGCTCTTCGGGCGATAGAGTGCGCTCTTCCTCAGGCTCCGACTCCAGTTCCAGCTCCTTCTCAGTGGTGGCTTCCGTTTGGGATTCGGCTTCGGTTTCCTCCTGCTTGGCTGGCTCAGCTTCTCCCTCATCCTGCTGCGGTTCCTCCTTGATTGCCTCTTCCTCTGGCTGCTGCTCCTTTTCAACTTGAGAGCTCTGCTCGGGAACGGTTGTCACCTGCTCCTCTTCCTCGGCTTCCTCATCGTTAACTGCCTCGGCAAAGAGATCCGGAATGGCGGGCAATGGCTCCTCGGCCTGAGGCACTTGCTCTACATGGTCGTGGGTCTCGTCAGCTTCGGCCACGAGATCGGAAATGGCGGCATGGGGCTGCTCCTCTTCGTTCTCCGAGTTGGCCTCCACCATGGGCACCGTTTGGGCGGGCTGTTCGCCAAATGGAACCGGCGGCACAGTGCTGTCGCCCTCCAGCATCAGATCGCTGAGAATGTCGGCGATGCTCTCGCTCTCATGGAAATTCTGGGGATCCTGCTCTTGATCCAGCTCGTCGCTCACAATGGCACTGGGTGCCTCCGAGAGCTCAGGGGCCACAGTGGACTCCGCTTCCTCTTCTTCTTGTTCCGCGGCCGCAGTGGTTTCTTCTTCCTGAGCGATCTCCTGGAGGTGCTCGATGCTGGTGTAGTCCAGTTCAGGCTTGCTGGGTTCCTCCTCCTCAGCTGCCGCAGCTGCCGGAGCAGCCTGTGTTTCCTCCTGGGCCTTGACAGGGGTGGGTTCCTCTGATTGTTCCTCTGCAGGCTCTGGAATAACCTCCTCCTGGGCAATTGGCTCGGCTCCTTGGATTATGTTGTCATTCTCATTCTTCTCGACATCTTCTTCGTCCAGCTGGGGCTTGGTCTCCTCCTGAGTCTGGGCACTTTCACTGGCCTCGGTTTCAGGTTCGGCTTCTGGCACAATCTCCGTCTGCGTGGATTCGTCAGCGGCTTCCGGCTCGATATCAGCATCGCTCTTAATTGGCTGCTCTGGCTTACCTTGATCGGTATCCACCTGCGACACCTCATCATTAGCGGGCTCTGTTTCTGGCTCTTGGATCCTCTCGGTTACCTCCTCCTCCTCCCCGATCTCCGTCTCCGTGGCCGTCTCTGGCTCGGGCAACGCCTCTGCCTGGGGCTCAGCAATTGCTTCCGACACTTCGGGCGTTTTAATTGCATTTGCATTTTCCTCATCGGCCTCGGGCTCTTGCTCCTCCTCCTCTTGGGGCAGTGGCAGCTCGGTGGTGATCTCTAATTCTGGTTCTGGTTCCGCTGCTGCCTCTGGCCGCTCTGTGGTCAGCTCTGGCTCTGCTTCTGCCTCCTCCAGTGGCGCCAATTCATCATCATTTGTTGGGTATGTCAATTGTTCGTGCTCCGCTTCGGTGATTGCCTCCACCTCCTGCTCCGTCTCCGTCTCTGTCTCTGCCTCAGTGTCGTTGTCTTGGACTGGTTTCTCTGTTGTGGCTTCATCTGCATCTTGATGGACTTCTTCTTCCACCTGTTCGGGCTGGCTCACCTCCTCGTGCTGCTCCCCCTCCTCCTCCTGCTGCTGCTCAGCTGGCTCGGTGACTTGGTCTTGATTTAATTGATTGGCTTCATTTAAATCATCTTCGCCACTTGTCGGCTTGATGTCGGCGCTTTGTTCCGCCTGATCTGTCTCAGTTCCAGATCCAGATTCAGCCGCAGTTCCAGATTCAGCTCCCGACTCCATCTCTGGTCTCTGAATGCCTTCGGTGGACAGCGGCAGCTCCACTTCTGCGGCTTCGGTCGGTGTTGCCTCTGCTTCCGCTACTTCTTTTTCCATTTCGGTTTCTGGCTCCTCTGGTTTTCCCACCTCGACTTGGCTTTCACTCTCCATCTTCACCGGGTTCGCTGGCTCGCTGACGATCGTCGGCTCCTCCTGCTTGGGTGGCTGCTCCTCGTCATGGTGGGCCACAGCCACTTCCAGCTCATGATCCCCCGAGGCCAGATGCTCCTCCTCTTGCTCCACCTCGTTGTCAGCTGCCTTCGTCACACTTTCGATTTCAGGGGCAGCGTTAACTGGGATCAGTTCCTCATCGGCCACCGTCTGGGCTGTCTCCGGCTCTGTCTCCTCCTCGAGTAGCTGCGTCTGGACTGGCGGCTCGCTGGTGCTGGCCTCAGCATCAGTCTCGCTCTCGGCCTCGATGGGCACCACCTCCTCATTAGTCTGCGGCCCCACCTCCTCCTCTTCTTCCTTCTCGGGCTCGGCTTCGTAATCGAATTTCATGGTGTCGTCGATGGGCGATGAGGCAATCTCCTGATTACCCGAAGCCTCCTCCTCCTCGGCTTCTGTTGGGACAGTCTCCTGGTGATCCTGGTGCTCGGGCTGCTCACCAGTTAGCTCTGGCTTATGGTTATCATGCTCCTCGGCATACTCCTCGTCGATCTTGTAGGGATAATCCTCAGTGGGCCCAGCCTCGGTCTCCTGTTCGGCAGCAATGGCATTCTCGGTGGGCACATCGGCGGGAGTGAGCAGCTGCTGAACACCAGTGGTGGCATCTTGAGAGACCTGGGTGAGTTCTGGATCCTTTGGTGCAGCTGCAGCTTCCTCTTGGTGCTGCTGTTCTTCTTGGTTTTGCTGCTGTTGCTCCTCTTGGTTCTGCTGCTGCGTCAGTTCCGTTTCCTCATGGGCCATGTCCACGGCCTCCAGTTTCTCAACGTTGTCCACCTCGGCAACCTCGGGTCTGAGCTTGGTGGTCTGGCCATCATCCTCCTCCAGGGATTGCTCCTCAACGCTGGCGGGCAGCTCATCTTCCAGCAGAATGGGAGCAGCTGTCGTCGTCGTCGTTGTTGTCGTTGTCGTTGACGGGGTGGTCCTTCTTGTGGTTGTTGTGGGAGCAGGTGTTGTGGTCGTGGTCGTAGTTGTCGTCGTGCTCGTAGTGGTTTTCCTTGTAGTGCTCGTGCTAACTGGTTGCTCCACCTTCTCAATGGCCTGTTCCACCTCCTGCTGATCCGCCGCCGGGGCCACGCAGAGACCACCGATCATCTTGGCGGGACTTGTGCACTGGCAGCGCCCGAAGAGATTCGGGATAAGGAAGTCGCAGTGGGTGCGGGTGTCGAACATTTGGCAGTGGGCGTGGCTGTAGCAAACGGCGCCAGGATGGGCAGCTGTGGGAAAACGGATAAAGAGAGTGAAGGAGGTTGGGAAATTGCGGAAAATTCTCGTGAGATCTGTGTGCCTGCTCCGGATCGAGTGGGTTTGTGTGTGTTTTGAGTCGTGTTATTAAGTTAACCGTAAACCGTAAACCGAACTGCAAGCACCAAATGCATATTAAAAACTCATCATCATCATCATGAGGAGCCACACCAGAACATGGAGGAGAACAAGAACCACATCAGAGCATTAGCCCGCCTTCGACAAGCCTAATAACCGTCAATAAAGTCAACTGCAACTGCATCAACCTCAACGCATCGTGGCCAAAAGAGAATCCCAAAGAAGAGCCGAGAGTCCGTGCAGAGAGCAAAAATAAAATCTGAAGATTTTTTGAAGAATATTTATGAAAAGTACATAAAAATCTGCTACAGTTTTCAAATACTTAAACCCTTTTTGATTTCATAAAAATGATCAAACTTCTCTCGATTCTTTCAATAAAAAATCACTAAACATTTCATAATTTAGGTATACTAAGCTAACGCTTCATTTTTCCCTGTGTATGACTATGATACTTGTAGAAGGGGAACAGATGGGAACCAGAAGATGACGCTGAAACGTCGTCGGTGACGTCGCCCATTCCCATTACCGTTCCTCATCAGCATTCCACTCGCCGATAACTGGCTGAAAGAGCTTGGTGACTACGACCACGAATGCAACTGCAAGCCAAGACTGAGCCGAGCCACCTGCGTGTCTGCCACTGTCCTCCTCTGGAATCTCAGCTCTGACCCACTTTCCGGACTGCCGCTCCAACTTGTTTTCACTTGTTTCGTTTTTGGCTTTGCCAGCAACTAGCAACTTGCAACAGGCATCAGGCAACTTGCAACTAGGAGCTGGCAACTTGCAACTGGGATTTCACTGCCACCTGCATTTGCCCTTTGGGCAGTGTCTGGCCACGAGATCCATTCCCATTTGGCGATCATAAATCGGTATGCGGAATATATACCCTTCATCCTGGCCCAAGTGGAAAAGTTCGTTTTCTCGCGGGAATTTCGGCCACGGACAGATCCACAAGTCCCCAAAGAGCCTTCTGTCGGCATTTCACAAAAGGCGCTCGCTCCATTGGCCATTGGGGAACCGGTCGATCGGTCGCTTGGTCGGTGGAGTTCGTGGCACATGAAAGGCAAACGGCCAGGCCAGCATGGCGTATACTTAACGAATGCACCGCCTGACACTGACACTGAACGTCGTCGGGCAATGCCCATTCCAAATGCGAGTAGCTCGGACGTGTCTTGCTGCAGCATTGTGACACCAATATGGAGTCAACGCGGAGCAGGAAGAATCGCATGGGGAGGGATTCCAAATGGTTGGCCTCATCTTTCACTTTTATATAACAGCATTAGCGGGGGGGGAACAAGGCGGTAAATTGTTACTTAGCGAAGAATTTGTGAAGTTCTTTAATTGATTTAAGTGTATTCAAGATACAAATAGCATCTAGGGATCTTAAAAAATTGATTTCAATATTTTTAAAATGATATTTTGAGTGTCTCTAGAATATTAAGAGCTTTTGTCATTCAATTTCCCCTTAATTTCCCATGAAACTAGCTTGAAAAATGTATTCATTTGAGTTTTTTTGGTATAAGTTCAACTAAGTTTTAGAACAAATATTATTTTAGTTTAATTTGAAAACCCTTTTACTATAAACTTATTAGAATTTTCTTTTTAAAGAAAATAAAATTGTTTCTGTGTCTTTTTTTAATCCATTTCAAGAGTAAAAACCCATTTTATATTTATAAATCCCACTACTATAAATATAAATCAAATTTCTCTCTGTGCATTAACATTGTTTTCCCAACATGGGGCATGGGACGACGCCTCTGATCGATGTGGCTGCCTGGGGGCAATGCCAATGCCACGGCCACTTAGCGTTGTTGCCGGTGCGACAGGTTGCATGCGAATCGCTGCACGACTGCCACTGCTAACCTAACCCACTTCGATTACGGCCAGAGCTGCTCCGATCTCCGAGAGATCACCGGCGCGATACCCAGCGAGCTGCAAGCTGCGAGCTGCGAGAGCGACGCGTGTGAAAATTACTGTGTGGATCGGCGGGGAGCTGGCATCATAAACAATAATTTGCATCGAAATCAGCATAAATTAAATCGCAGCTTCCTCTGCGGGCGCTGTCTTTGTTCAAGCCGGTGGCCGGAATCGCAAATAGCAAATCGCAAAACTGTGTCAACTGCCTGCCACACGCACAGCCGCAAATACAGATACAGATACAAATGCGAGATACTAGCCACGAGATACTAGATGTATCCATCTGCGGCAGCATTCCTGCGGCTATAATAAGTCTATTTATGCCGCCGACTTTCATTATATGAAATAACGCAGGGGACGCTTTAATTAATTGAAACCATTTGCATTTGGTGGAAATGGTAAGTTGTCTTTTTATTTTCCGGAAGTTGACCGAAAGCGGCGGGGCGCTACTTCTGCCACTACTTTTCGGTTTCGGTGTGTGTGCTTTGGCCGTTCCACATAATTTGCATGCAATTTGGCATTTGGCGCAATTTAGTTTGAAATGGCCATTCAAGAAGCATTTTTTCGTATATTTTTCTTTCGTTTTGGTTTTGTTTTTCTTTGTCTGTAGCCGCAAATTAACACAGTTTGACTTTGACTGGCTGCCTTTGTGGGTCATGCGAAATGAAATGGAATTTTTCGGCGGTTTTCGGTAGTTTTCGTTCGCTTTGGGTCTTTCTCTCTTTTCATTTTTGTATTATTTTTGGTGCAAGGTGTCGCAATGGAAAGTATTTTCCCTGTTTTTCTGGCCTGCGAAGGTGTTGAGGCTGCACGAAAGTGAGCTGAGTTTTCTGAGGAGAGTGACTAGGAGATTTTCTACGGCTTCTCAGGCTATGCTTCTGGCTTTGCCTTATATAATGAGAGTCAGCAGGGATTCCATAGAGAGAAAAACTGTAGAAATGTATGGGAAAGGTGTTTGAAGAATCTCTATCTCTATCAAAGATAAATCTAGTTTGTCTTGAAAGTTACAGAACATTTTTATAAACTCATTTATAAACCAAACTGAAGCTCTCTGACACTCTGAATACCGTTACAAATTTAATTAACTTGATTTTAACTGGAAAATATTATGAGCCTCATAAAAAAAGGTTGGCTAAATATTTTAAGGCAACATTAAATGGTTGTAAATATATTTTTGCTACGATTAACTTCCCTAATCTTAAATAACTTATTTTAAAGCTACCTTTTGATCTCTATATTTTATCTTTCTAATTCTGTTCAGTACCCTGTACTTAGTTATTTTTCATATTCTTTCTCTCAGTGCATCTGTGTAATCGCAGACGTCAGAGCGGTTCACTTTTCCTGCAACTTTGTATGCAGAAGATCTCGATCATGCGAGACAGTGGCGCAGCTTCCACGGTTCGGACGGTTGGTCTGGGGCTATCTGTTTGTTCATTATCTGAGCAAGTATATATATATATATATATTAGCATATGTATTTGGCATACTTTTAAGCTCTGCACGCCGGGTTAAACGGGGAGAGTGGAGTAGACCAGGCCGAAGAACCGAATGCATAACTCATAAAGATGGGAGGAAGTGCTCATTGTTGCTGGATTGCCGGATTCTTAGAGGTGGGCTCATTAAAGAGCCACAAAAACGGGCAAGTTAAGAGCCAATCCCGGAATGGGTCTGGGTTAAGGTGCATGGGAAACTGGAACAAGTGGCCAAGAGCTGAGCGCCGAGCGCCAAGAGCTGGAGAGCTGGAGAGCGCGGAGAGCGAAAAAGCCAAATGGAAAGCCTGACAAGCTCACAAAATCTGGCACACCACTTGCTTCACTTGACCCGCGACTCAGATGGAGATGGAGGAGCAGCAGCAGCCAGCAGGGAGATGGCGATAGGATGAAGTGAATGGCCAATCCCAAATGTGTGCAACATTTTTGTCAACTGCAACTTTGGCCTTACTCTCTCTGTGTGAGAACTAATTGGACTTTCTTGGACTTTCTTCCTTTGCTAATCAGTGCAATTTAATTACGAGAAGAGGAGGCAATTAGCCATGTAAAGTAGGCACCGCTGGGCGATAGCCATCGAAGGGGCTAAGCCAGGATATTCCCATATAATCCCGTCTTGTCTCTCTAATGGTGAAAGGTTCCTCTTTCTTTTATTGTGTGTTTCGGTGAAAGTATCTCTCATAAATGAGCGCGGGCTCACCTGGCCGCTTTGGCCTCAAATTACGCTTAATTAAATACGAGAGCTCACTCTCAGCCCGACCAGCAGCAGCAGCAGCAGCTGTCCTGCCCATATATATTGAGTTCTTATGCCATATAATTAAGTCGCCCGAGTCTGCAGAGCCACATCAGGTGAACGGCAATGACACGAACTGCTCCACGATCGTGCCCCAGTGGGGAGGAGTGGGGAGAGCCATGGCCCCTCGATTCTAGTCAACATTCTAATCAGATTAACGCCACTTGGCGCCAATGTGCCAAAAGGAAGTGGAGCGAATTCCAATTGCTGGCAGGGCTGACAGCCAAGGAGAAGTCTAGAAGGGTTTGTGCCCTTCACGGTCACTGTTTTAACAAGGAATAATTCTAAAAGAAAAGCCTTAAGCTTTAAGGAAATCAAAAAAGATTAAATTAAAGCCCAAGCTTCCTCTAGAATTGTTCTTTAAAATATTACTTTCTCTATTCAAGCTTTAATCTCAAATAAAATTTATTACTGCCGCACTCTTTGAATAATTTATTTAATCTTTTTCCCCCGTAAGAATAATTATTAACTTCATTTCTCTACCCTTCTTAGATGAATCACACAGGCCAGCGAGTGATTTATTTCCCACTCTAGCCATGAGTCACGGTTCCCTGGCCCAGAGCCCTAGCAGTCAAGTGTAGCTGAAGATGCATCTTCGGAGCCATTGGCCGGGTATCTTGAAAAATGTATCTTTCACACATCGCTCTGCACAAACAGAAACAGAAACTCGCAGAGAGATCGAAGCCAAACATTTGCATTTACATTTTACATTTAACGTTCAGCGTTTAACGTTTAACGTTCTGCCTTCTACGATCGTTTCTTTTGCAGCAGTTTGCTGGCCAGTTCTTGGAAGATTAACCAATTATGCGTATAATTAGTGACACGATTGTCTTGTTATTTTCATCGTTATTGTTATTGCTATGCCCGTGTTAATTGCCGGCAGAAAGGAAAACCCAGCCGAACCAAAGTGTTAACGAATGGCAAACAGGAAATGGGAGTGGACACTGAGTAGAGTACACAGAACCGAATGGGTTAATCGGAGAATAATAATCAGGGGTTACAGAATGAGAGTAAGCTAAAAGTCTGAAGAATAAATAATAATTAAAGGCTAAAAGGAAGTTTACTACGGAACAGAGCCATTTCCATTTTATATATATCTTTTGCAAAATTCCTCTTAATAAATCTCCTAAATTCAGAGTCAAAATACAAATGAATTGCTTTCCCTAGGAACCTCTTTTTCCTGTGTAGTCACATACTTTGTACTACCTTGCATTGCGTGACATTCCGGTTAACTCAAGAAATGATAAGCCATCAAAGTGGGTATTATTAGTTGGCTGCCGTCCGTTTATTGCAATTCACCAAACACCGCCACGAACAGTTAATGATATCATCTAGTATATGTGTGTGTGTGGTGTGTGATGTGTGGTGTGTGGAATTCCATGCTAACCGGGCGGATTAGGGCCACAAGACTTGGCCGGCACTTGGCGGATACTTACGTCCCAGACAGGTGTGCTTGCGGAACTGCAGGAATCCCTCGACGCACCGACAGGCTCCGTCCAGGCAGCTACTGTTGGCCACCTTCATGGAGCACTGTTCGCTCAGCTGGCAGTCGCCGCCCAGAAGTTGGGCTGCAGATTAAACCAAAAACGAAACAAAAAACAAATCAAAAATCAGTATTTATACCAAATTAGTGTTTTATCATTAAAGGTAGCCGGGCAATCATCTGGAAATTAACTTTAATCGACTCATTTGAGGGAATTTTCTAAGAAAAATATTGGATTTAACAAGCAATTTGAGAGTGTAAAATAAATGTAAGAGGAGGTAGGAAAGAGAGCCCATTATAAGGAATTTTCTATTTGAGTTTCGCAATAACTATAATTGGACGGCGAAATGTTAAGAAATAAATAACATGATTTAGACAGAAGATAATCCAATTATTAGATATCATTAAGGAGAAATGTATCTTTAATGGCGGAATTCGTTAGATGGAATTTTCTGCGAAAAGCCAAAACAATTTTAGAGTTGAAGATAGTTTTAGTAGGCTCATTTTAACGAGTTTTCTTCTTAGATTTTGTTAATAACTTTAATTGTTTTAAGAGAACATATTTTTCTGGGGAAAAGAGATGAGTAAAATGGTAATGGTATTATAACGAATTTAAAATTAACATAATGAAATTAAGCCCTAAGAGAGTAACCTAAATCTTGGTTACATTGTATATCCCCTCAAAACTGCTTGTTTATATTTGACCAGCAAGTGATGAATCACTAATTCTTCCCAATGGAATTCCAAATTCTTTTCCATGTGTACGGAGAGAGTTGTGCTGAGTGCATCTAACGGGGCTTCGGTGGACAAACACACATCGCCATCGCATCTCCATATGCAACTCCAACTCCAACTCCGCCCATTGTTTGCTTGTGTTTGCCCGGCAAACATTCTGTATACTCCCACTTTTGGGGTTAGCCAAAGATTGACTTTGCCTACTTAGTACTTACACGACAAACAGCGCTTGGAGTCCAGCTGGACGAAGTAGGGGGCGCACTCGCAGTAACCCAATGCGGAGCAGCTGCTGCCCTTGATGAAATCCGTGCAGTCCATGTCGTGCTGGCACTTGTCACCCAGCTCCAGGGACCGGCTGGCATCCGCCACTGTGAAGATGATCAGCAGCTGCAACAAGAAAAAGGGGATATTACAAGGAGATCTCAAAGATACATTTAAAAATATAAAAATTGTAAATTGTAAACCAAAAGTACTTTGGATGGATGAAAGCCTATATTTCTAAGTGTTTCCCATTTAAAGCTTCCTTAATTTAAGATTTTTAAGCATTTTCCCTGGGAATTTCCCACACAGCACCTTTTGCCACTTAATTGTACATAACCGTAGTGTCTTAAAGACCTGCATTCCTTCTTCCTGGCATCCAAACTTTATGCATTACCTATAAATCGCAGAGATCTGTTATTTATAGGCTCACCATATTCTTTCAATTAGGTGAACCGTTTTGCATGGGCCCATTATTAAATCGAAATGAGCCAACAAATTGGACGGTCTTTCTTGACCAAGTCTTGTTCAAATGCCAAACAAATGGCTTGGGAACACGGAATAACCATACATATATCCGTGTGGGCCCAGTGCCGTAAAATCCGTACTTAATCGCAGCAGCTCACTGGCTGGCTAACTCTTTTATGAATGGAGTGTGTGCGATGTGTGTAATTCTAGCTTGTAGCTACGTATCTGTCAGATACAAAGCTTGTGTTCGCGGCACAGACACAGTTAACGTTATATCAGATGCTACAGAGATACCCGGGAACTGGAGAACTGGAGTTGTAAAACAGAATTAACAGTTGCCTGAACACCGAACACACGCCCCGTCGAAGGCGGAGTATATACATATATTCTAAGCCAGGCCAAGTACACTGTGGAGTGGGTTGGCCCGGGATCTATAATTAAAAAAAAAAGAAACAGAAACAAACAGCAGAGAGTTAAGGGTACCCACTGCTACTATCTGTATGTTTTTGGGCTGTCCCGGGTCACTTTACCTGTGTTTTGGATACCCTTTTAAGAGGTATTTATTATGGCTTGTAATGGATAGATATTAGCAGGTGGGGCGTGCTTTTAATAAGTACAAAGAAAGCAGTTATGCAAAGTTCTATTACCACATATGAATAAAGAAAAGGTTAAAAAACGCAGAGCTTGAGCTATAACAAGAAAGGAAGCTAACTTCGGCACGCCGAAGTTTGTATACCCTTGCAGATTGGTTTCGATGTTTTTATTATAGATTTAAATGCTGAAAACAGAGTTTCATTACATTTTACCTATACTTATTATGTTTACAGTTTTACATTCACACCTTTACATTTTCCCTACATTTACCGATCGCTGCTATGGCAGCTATATGATATAGTTGTCCGATTTTCATGAAATTTATACCAAAATTCTAGAATAATAAAATAAGCTTATATCCCGGAGTAGATCAAAAAACGTTGAAAAACAACGGAGTTATAATTTCTTTTCTATTAATTTCCCGATTGTTCCTATGGCAGCTATATCATATAGTCGTCCGATTTTCATAAATTTTTTTACCAATATTCAGAAATAATATAAAATAGCAATATCTAAAAAATGGTGCAAAAATGTTGAAAAACAGCAAAGTTATAATTTTTTTCTAAAAATTTATCGAACATTTGTATGGCAGCTATATGATATAGTCGTCCGATCCGGCCCGTTCCGACATATATAGCAGTGAGAGTATATAGAAGACTATATGTAAAGTTTCATTCAGATAGCTTCAAAACTGAGGGACTAGTTTGCGTAGAAACGGACAGACGGACAGACGGACAGACGGACAGACGGACATGGCTAGATCGACTCGGCTGTTGATGCTGATCAAGAATATATATACTTTATAGGGTCGGAAAGGTCTCCTTCACTGCGTTGCAAACTTCTGACTGAAATTATAATACCCTGCAAGGGTATAAAAACACCGAAATTAGATTTTTTCTTGCAGTTCCCCGATCGTTCCTATGGCAGCTATAAGATATAGTCGCCCGATTTTCATAAAATTAAATACGAATTTCTAAAATAATAAAAAATGGCTATATCTCCAAGAAGATAAAAATACGTTGAAAAACAACGAAGTTATAAATTTTTTTCTGTTAATTGCCCGATTGTTCCTATGGCAGCTATAAGATATAGTCGCCCGATTTTCATAAAATTAAATACGAAATTCTGAAATAATAAAAAATGGCTATATCTCAAAGAAGATAAAAATACGTTGAAAAACAACGAAGTTATAAATTTTTTTCTTTTAATTGCCCTATTGTTCCTATGGCAGCTATAAGATATAGTCGCCCGATTTTCATAAAATTAAATACGAAATTCTGAAATAATAAAAAATGGCTATATCTCAAAGAAGATAAAAATACGTTGAAAAAAAACGAAGTTATAATTTTTTTCTGTTAATTGCCTGATTGTTCCTATGGCAGCTATATGATATAGTCGTCCGATTTTCATAAAATTTATATAGAAATTCTGAAATAATATAAATTGGCCATATCTCAAAAATGGTGCAAAAATGTTAAAAAACAGCCAAGTTATAATATTTTTTCCAAAAATGTATCGAACATTTGTATGGCAGCTATATGATATAGTCGTCCGATCCGGCCCGTTCCGACATATATAGCAGTGAGAGTATATAGAAGACTATATGCAAAGTTTCATTCAGATAGCTTTAAAACTGAGGGACTAGTTTGCGTAGAAACGGACAGACGGACGGACAGACGGACAGACGGACAGACGGACGGACAGACGGACAGGCGGACAGACGGACAGACGGACATGGCCAGATCGACTCAGCTGTTGATTCTGATCAAGAATATATATACTTTATAGGGTCGGAAAGGTCTCCTTCACTGCGTTGCAAACTTCTGACTGAAATTATAATACCCTGCAAGGGTATAAAAATGTATTTAATTTAGGGTCAGAGTAATACTAATATTTCTCTTAGCTTTCTTTCTTACAAAAATCTTCAAGTTCTGTACTTAAATCTCATATCTTATTTCCGCTCTATCGAATCTAGAATACAATAGATATAAAAGATACCAACTTCAAGGGTATTTACAGCCTCGGTCCACCGGAGCTAGCCCTCCTCACTTGTTTTGCAGTTAGAACGCTGGCTTAGCTGGCTAATAAATAAGCTGAATTTTGTGGCCAACACGGATACAGCTGCTCAACACACACACATAGACCCATACGGAGTGGGGAGAAGAGTGCAATGTACTTTCTGCTCATCGCGAATGAGCGCCACACGCCATTAATTACGGGCCGGCTCTCTGGGATTGGCATTACCTAACCGAAACCAAGGCACTAGCTCTAGCTTCATCTCCAACTCCAGCAGCAGAAACAGATACAGATACAAGTTAGGTAACTGGGCTTCCTCGCTGGCTTCGGTTTCGGGTTCTGGGTCTTGGGTTTTGGGTTTTTTGCATACTGGCTAAAACGGTACTGTCAGATCTTCACCCCCGATTTTCTGGGTTTCTTTCTGCCTTTTTTTTTTTGTTGGAATTTGTTAACGCATTAAATCCAATGATTACATAAACTTTGCCTTGGATTGCACGGGGAAGCCCCCGCAGACTTGGCTAATTGGTAAGAACTCACCGATTCCGATTCCAATTCCACAGTCACGCAAGTCTTTGGCAAATTGTACAAGTTGAGACATTAAAAAACACAGTTAGGATCGTTTGGCGGAATGCAACATAGTTGGCTTTACTTGCCTTGATTGTGATAAATGATCAGGTGAAAATTTTAAATCATAAACGGAAGTAAATCGCAGGATATTGGAATAAGAAAGAGGTGAAGATTCTGAATTTAGTTGGGTTTTCAGGGGAAGATTCTCTTTCCTTAATATATTGTTTTATTTATTTACAGATTTTTGTATATATAATTAAATTAATATACACAGTAAAACCCTTTCTCCATGACTTTCCCCATTCTCTTCTCCCATTAAACTATCAATATCTATAAATTTGTCTTCTATTAAGTTTATCGAATAACAAATCATTTCAGATCTTAAATAATAATAAACAAAAAAGGCTTTTCTGTTCAAATTAGTTCAGAATATTATTTTCTTTGTGACTTTCCCCTTTTTGTGAAACCATTAAAGGCATTACAACCAGAGTTTATTGAACAAGAAACCACTGACACTACCATTTCAAGATCTTCAAATAACAATAAATAAATAAAGTACTCAACATAATCCCCATTCAGAGGTGTTTTCTTGGGCTCTCAAGATCATTTCGCTACTCATTCGATGCTTGTCTAGTCAAAACACAGCACTTGGGCCCCGTGGCAAGCTCGGGCCCCTCAGCCAGCAGCCGTAGCCAGGCAAATCCATTTCCATTTCCATTCCCATTCCCCATGAGTACACTCAATGGGAGCGGGCTCTGCAAACGAGATCTCGAATGGGAAAAGTATCCGATCGGAGTTGGAATCGCAGACTCGAATGGCCAAGAGAACCAGAAATGAAATGAAACCGTTCAAACTCGACGGCATCAATAAAATGTCAATAAACAGAGAAGAAATTGTTTAATTACGCTTTCGAGCTGGCCGCCAACTATAGAGAGACAGAGAGAGAGAGAGGGACAGGCTATTGGCCATTAGAGCCGACTGCCAGTGTGTGTTTGCCTTTGTTTGACTTGACCCAATAACTCTGGGCCAAGTTACTTTCGTTGCCAGCTTATTGTTCATGGGAGGTTTGACATCTCTGCGCAGAAAAGTTCAGAGTGGCTGCAGATACAGAGGGATCCAGGGATCTCCGGAGGCGGCTAATAACCGTCAGGTCGTGTCCACCTGGCCATTTGTAATCCTACGGCTGGCAATTCGTCTTCACGGCCTCCTAAGAGTCCACCTCCTCGTCCGTTAAAAACCCCATTCATCAGGCTGGCTTATTTATTTCGCAGCTTTCCTGGCTCTCGGTTCTCGGTTCTTGGTTCTCCGTTCTCTGTTCCCTGGTTTTTGGGTTTATGGTCGCTGTGCTAATGAAGACCCGTTGCAGTGGCATTTTCTCTGCACTGCACTGCAGTTATTGTAATTTAGAATCGTAAAAGAACGGCTGGCCAGCGAAAAGGCAAAAAAGGAGTAAATAATTTTTCGTGTTTTACAAATTACTCTCGTACTTGTTTAATGATCGTCGGGCGCCGGACCGTCTGCTGACCTTTGGCCGGGCCAAATGCAGGTGCACAGAGATGCAGCCGGTGGCCGGTAGACGGTGGCCGGTGGCTGGTGGCCAAGACATAATGCACTTGGCTCGAAATGGGCTGAACGGGGCAGCGGCCGAGGGCATAGCGAAACATAATAACAAACAACATCGAAGTGGATAAATTGTTTCTTGGCCAAGATGGAGTGGAAAACTGGTGGAAACAACGCTGAGGAAAGCTCCAGGGGAGGCAAGAGGCCTTGATCCATGGAATTCTATTGATTTTTTAGCAGTAGGAATAGATGAAGAGGTATTAGATGGAAAAATCTAATTGAATTACGAGAGATTTATTCAAGATTCATTGATTAAAAACCAGAGATAAAAGTGTTTACTAATAATGAATTCTAAGTCAAATTAAATTATTTTGCAGTATTATTAAACTTTGTATTTCTTTTAAATATAAAGCCTTTTAAAAATGTACCATATCTACAAAATACGTGCTGTTTCCTATTGATTCCCTCACTATAAAATTATAAATAGACTTCAAATATTTAGTTTACAGCTTAAATACTACAAAAATTCTCTTTTGCAACCTTTAGAATTATTCTCAAGGGAAATACTATTTAATAAAGATGCATATTTCGAGATAAAATTAACAAAAATACCTATAGTGTACATAAGGAAAATATTCAGAAATACCCCACAAAAGAGATCTTAAAATCGCATAAATGATAACAAGACTACATAGGTCTCCAAGGTTCCGAAAAGAAAAAAAGAAGAAATAAAACCCAGTTAGCCAAACTTCCTCTTTTTTATGCCTCTCGCTTTCCCGGAATCCATAAAAAGGCCAGCGATTCAATAGAAGCATTTATTAATAGTCAAACTAGTTCCCATACACCACAGCCATAATGACGCTTCCCGCAGTAATAATGATTAAGTGCCGGGCAATGAAATTTTATGAAGCAAATAATTCACTAAACTTAATGCCCGCTCTTGTGATTTTTTTTCTTCTTGTATTTCTTTGGTGCCAAGGGAAAAACTCCCACCTTTTATTAGATTAATTTGCCCACATTACTCAGTCAATGGAGTGGACTGTGCAGAGGCGACCCCCATCGACATCATCATCTCTGGCCCGATCTGCGTCATGATCTTCGACGCCTGCCTATCCATCTATCAGCCGCAGTTTGACCCAATGGCCGACTTCACAGCTCTTTGCACACACTCGGAGCTCGCTTTGCGGAGAAAAGAACGCGGCCCACACCGGCCAAAATGCCAAGAAAACACCTAGCATCATAAATAAAAATTGTGCCAAAAAAAGAGTGTGGCTTTTGTTTAAGAAAGCGAAAAAAGCGCTTAACAATAGCCCGCTGACCAGGTGACAAACATTTTTTGGAGCAATTTGAATTGGCAACGCCCCAAATGACTTTTGAATGCCCGAATGGGGGTGCAATTTTTGCGAGCATTTCCTATTATGTTTTTGTTCTTATATATATTTTATATTTTCGCCGCAGTTGGGCTTACTTACCGCTAAGAGCCGCTTAACCGTAAAAGTATTTCCATTGAGCATTGCGATCGCAGGTTGCTTTCTCGATTTTTTTGTCGGCGTCGCAGTCGCCGTCATTGCCGCGCTTCTGTAGCTCCAAGAAGCTGCCTTGGGTCTCCCTGGGAAGGCTTTTCTCTCTCCACCAATTTCCCTCCTTTTGTGTGTTTTGTAGATTTTCCAGCGATCACACCGTACTCCTCTCTTTCTCGCTATCGTTAATATACGAGTGTGTTTTTCTGTGCTGTGGAAAGGAGTCGGGGATGTGAGGATGTGAGGGGATAGACTTGACTTAAACTCTGAACTCTTAGGGTCAGAAACGGAACGAAAACGTTTTTCTCTTTTTACGGGGCAAAGGAAATGCGGCCCACTAAACAAAAACGAGGAAAATAATAATAATAATTTTTGTTTTATTATTTTGCAGTTGTCGGTTGCCCTGTTGAGAAGGCCAAAAAAAAAACAAAAAAAAAGCAAAAGCCATCCAGCCGAACCGGCCGGCTTGCGGCTCACACGCCCCTCATTCGCATTCAATGGGCATTGAAGTCGCTCCACTTTAAAACGAAAGACTTAGGCAGCGAACTTGAGGCGGCAGCCGAAAATGGGAAATTAACACCTGAACCGCCACAGCCGCCACCGCTGCTGCTGCCCTAACCTAAGCCCTCAAAACTTATTTCGTTTATTTTTCTCGACCGCTGTCTCATGTTTTTCCGTTTTTTTCTGTATTTTTTTTTGTTGCTATTTTCACTTGCTGTGACGACCTTTGTGTGTCTCTTGCTCGCTCGCTCGCTCTGTTTTTCCTCGTTTTTGTGTGTGTCTTGTTCTGTTTTTTTTTTTTTTCTTATACGGAATTCGGGTAACGTTTTTGTTGTTGTGTCTTTCTTCGCCGCTGCTGCTGCTGCTGTTATAAAATTTCATTTTATTGCAATGCATGAGTCTGGGCCGAAGAGTTCGAGACCGCGAGACTGAGACTAAGGCCAAGACTAAGTCGGAAGACTGGAGACTGGGTCTGAGAATGTGGCGCTCTAGGGCATTACCGTTAGGCGGCAGAGGCACAAAAACAAAAAAAAAAGAATAAACGAGCAGAGCCGATATAAAACATCAACTAACTCCAGAATTTTTATAACTTAATAATAAAAAAAAGACCCGGAAGGTGGGCCGGGGAGAAAGGGAGAAGGGCTCTCAAGAGTTCGATTTAAATTGGTCTAAGGTGAGAAAGGCCTGAGAACTAGTCGCTGCACAGAAAACAATGTCATAAAGGTTTAAGAGCAACTAAATTTGAGGTATGGTGCCAGAAGAGGCTTCTTTTAATATAGTAAAAATAATTCGTATCAACTTTTTAAGATTACTGAAATGAGGTTCTTGTTGAAGTAGGAATTATGGGAATATGGGAATATTTTAGGTTTAATTTAAAACTTCTTTCCGAATTTTAAAGCTTATTTTTGGTATTCGTAAAAAGCAGTTTAAAACTTAAATATACTCAAAAACTCTTCTCAGTTTATCCTTTTAAATATGTAAATTAAATTTTAGGAATAATACATTTTCCAGGATTTATTATTATACTTTTGTGAAAGTTTTAGACAAGAATAGAATTTCTTTAACTTGAATAATCAACAATCTATAAAAGAAATTGTTTTTTAATTGTGAAATATTATTAGCAATTCTTTGATAAATAAATTATGTAAATTTCCACTTAGAAAATATATTTCTTTGCTTTAAAAAATCCATAAAATATAAAAGGAAATATTTTTCAAAATCTTAAAAAATTAAGTAAGTCTTTCAAAACTTCTTCTTTTCTACTTTTTCTGTTTTTCCTCTTTAGAGAATTGCTTTTGGTCAAGGGGCGTGTATGGGCGTGTCTGGACAATTGCCCGACTCAATTTTTTGACCCAGTCAGCCGCGGAGAAGCAGATGCAGATGGAGATACAGAGATGCAGAGATGCAGATGCAGAGATGCAGATGCAGAGATGTAGATGGCGCAGTTCTTCCGCAATCGATCAGCATGTGCAAAGTGTTGGGCTGGCAACCGCAAAACGCAAACTTTGGCTGGGGAACTGCATTTTTATGCTTTTGTTGTTGTTTGTGGTTTTTGCGCTTGGTCTATCGGTCGCTGGGTCGTCATCAATGCAAGGCAACACACACAGCACACACAGACACATACACGCAGAACGGACTCGGGCTAAGACTCTGGCTAAGACACTCTAGCCGAGAGACACAAGCAGGCAGGCAAAAAAAGAGCCAAGAGCAGCGCGATTCTGGCACCGTTATGCACCCAATATGGCGACTGCACCACCACCGCACCACCATCTCCACCAGAACTGCAGCTCAGCACAGCTCCACACATGTGCCAAAGCTGGACTGGCTCTGACTCTGGCTTTTGGGTCTGGGTGCATCTGCATCCAGCAAACTGGACAGCAGAGACACGGGACTCCGGGGACCCTGGATCTCTGGATCTCTGGATCTCTGGAGCTCTGTCTTCACTTGACTGCCTTCCCATGTATGTTTGTCTATCTCGCTCGCTATTTGTTTGTTTGTTTGTCAGTTGGATGTTGCTTCGCTGGTTGGTTGGTTGGTTCCTTGCCCGCTCGCTGGCTTTGGGTTTGTTTGTTGGTTTTCCTTGGGAGTCCGCAAGAAAACAGAAATTACACACAGTTGCCCGAATGGGCCGCGCCTTAGTCTAATTCCAGCCAGAGATCCTCAGGATCTCATAACGATTATCATCATCATCATTATTAATTATTATTATTATTATTATTTTCCTCTTTTTGTTTCATTTATTTAGGAGTATTTTTTAGCTACCGTTTCGTTTTAATTTGTATCTCGTTTTCACACTCGCGTCGCGGCACTTTCTTGTGTGTTGTGTGTGATGTGTTCAAGTGTTTTTTCGGTTCAGTTTGATTTATTTCTTTTTTTTTTTGCTAGCAAGTTGAGTGTGCAAAGTGCAGCCGCATCCACGGAGATGAGCTGAGCTGGGCACGTCCGCACGTAACGATGGTCAGCAACGAACTGAAGAGGAGCCAGCCAGCCACGGACTTAAAGAACCAAAGACAAGCAGCCGCAGTTCGCAGTCGCCAGCAACAGCAGCAGAAGCAGCAACATCAGCAGCAGCAGAAGCCACTTGGCCAGCTCCAAGAGGAGAGCTTTTTGGCCAAAGTCAAAGTCAAGGCAGCGAAGCTTTCTCAGACACGACAAGTGCCGAGGTCTTGGCCAAAATGTTGTTGCTGTTGCTGCTGTTAGCGATCATATTGCTGCTGTTACCCGAGAGATATTGCCGCTGTTACTGCGGCTCCTGTTACTGCTGATGCTGCTGCTGCTGCTGCTGCTGCCTTGGCTGTCTATGCAAATGCGCTTTATTTGTTTCTTTAATTATGAGTGTCAGGTCCGAGAGAGTGCGAACGGCACAGATTAAGAGAGATAAACGGCGAAGCGTTTGTAGTACACCTACACGACGTGGAGATTGCAGCTGCCCAGGCATCTGCATTTGGTTCGAAATTAACCGTTTTAAGATACAGTCAATGTACGATATGTGCAACTAATTTGGCTTTGAAAAGGGATATTTTTTAACTATACATCTAAGGATACATAACATTTGTATTTTAGAATTACATTTTATAAGGTTTTTGGGGTTCAGTTTCAATAATTTTCACCATTTTCGGCTATAATTGTATACTGATATTTCAGAGCCTAAAAGCGGGATTAAAAGCATTGTTTATCTTATAGAAATCACTAAATTATTAACGCTAAAATTATGTAAATTTAGTAAAATTTTATATAAAGAATAATAATAACGATAGGTACACAATAAGATGTTGAATTATTGAGTGGATTTCCCTAAGAAACAGCTCTTAATTTTTGGAACTTTTTGAGTCTTTTTATTTAGTAGTTACCTATCAATATACAAATATAATACAAATAGTTGCTCTTTCTTTTTAAGTTTTATTTAATTTTATTTCCTGATTTAATTCATTTTAAAAAAATGTTATATTCTAAATGAATACCCTTTCAAAGAAACTCGACTGTAGTTGATTTTTGTTCGTTACACTTCCGTCACTTGAGGTTGAACCCGTGTTGCAATCGCAATGAGGCAAGTGAAGCAACTGAGTATACGTTGCGAAACGCTAAGAATAAGCTGGCGAGAATGAAAACAACAATAATAAGGTGGCGGGGAATGGTCAAATCCAACGCACTCCATTTGGCTGAGGCCAAAAACTATACAAATGCGTCTTCCCTAATTGAATAATGCGGCGACTGCTCTGCTCTTTAAGTCGTTGGGGCTCTTTAAAATTTAAAATTATAATTTAATGGTTTTAAATTGGTCGCTTGGGGTGTAATTTTCGCATTTGAGTTCATTTTAAACAAACTGTTTGCTGTTTTCACATTATCAAAAGGTAGGGTGGTAACTAAAGTTGTCTAGGGAACTTAGTTTAAAGAATAAAATTTGAATAATAATTTTATGGATATTAAATTACATAGTAAACTTAAACATAACAATATTTTCTATACAGTTCTAAAAGGTTTACTATAAGTTTTCTTAGGTTGCCTCACTTATTAATTCATTTAATATTAATTTATATTACTTTCTTCTCCCAAAAATGGTGTTAATTATCGTTTTATGACAATCTAAAACACTTTCTAGCCGGATTTAGTAGCTTAAAACTCCTCAAACCACCCACGCAACCCATGAGCGCAAGTCCGAGGGAACTCAACTTGGGTGTAGACATCTCGCATATTGTGCCAAGTGGTCACTTCAAAGCGCTTTTGATCGTTTTTGATTTCACATTCAATTTTATATCTGCCCTCTTTGTTTCGCTCATTCCAAAAAATACAAGAACAACAAAAAATTGCTTCGATTTTCGAGCATTTTCTGGAAGACAGCATCTTAATTTGAAGATTTATTTCAAGCACCGGAAGCGGAGCACCCTCACGCTCCTCCTCCTCCACCGCGCGCAAAAAAGAGTTGATTGTCCCGAATCAAAAATCGCATATTACAGGCATATATAGATTCGGCTGGGAACAGGGCCATAATTGACGCTGATTGTCCACGGTTGCTTGCTTAATTCTACAGTTTCTTTATTTTTTTTTTCGCTTTCGAGCGGGGGCAATGGATTCGGAATCAGAAGCGGACCTGGGAGTCAATGAAATCAATAGTTAAGGTTTGAGGAAGTGACGGAGATGTGAACCCTGTTAAATAGATATTAAAAGCCAGGAAAGTTTTTAATTCTTAGCTCTGGGAATATGAAAGAAATCGGGGAATGAAAAGTAATAATTTAAACATTTTTAAATATTTTAATAAATATTTATAATGAGCTAAAAAAATATATTTTTGTCAATTAAAATGATAATAATATTAATAAATTGTAATTATATTATTCTTTAACGATTTTTTGTGCAAATAAACCTGATTAAATCCACATAAATGGAGCCTCGACATTTTTTTTAATGTTTTCTAAAGTTTAGTACATATTTTACCTAAGAAACACTTCCAGATTTTTTTATATAAACCTTTTCCCTTGCAAAAATAATCCCATTTACATGCTAAAAAACCTGCAAATAATATTTGTTATTCCCTTTTTAATGGCTGGCAATGCAAAGCCATTGATGGAAAAGTTTCCTTCGATGTGGCTGCTGCATTTTGTGTTAAAAACCATGAAATTGTTATTAATGCTTGGACAAAATAGCCCGGCAGCAGAGGCAGAGGCAGTGGCAGTGGCAGCCGGCTGGCCATCATCGCATTAGGAACAATGAAAAGCTAAAGTAAATCGAAATCGTAGCAAATTCGAAGACACTGCACTGTCCGGAGACGGGAGAAATGTTTATCATCATCAGCAGTAGTAGCAGTAGTAGCAGCAGCAGCAGCAGCAGCAGCAACATCATCGGCAATATCGGCGGCGGTGGCTTCATTATCATGGCAATGATCATCGCCGGAGTGGCGAACAATTGAAAAAGTGCTTTTGCCTTGCTCTTGGGGCAACACGTGCCGGGTCGGCTCTCGGTTTTTTTTTTCGACTGCCATCGATCTCGATCTCGAGTGCCGGTGTACCTGTCGCTGCTGCTGCTGCTGCTTCTGCCACGCCCCCGTCCACCTGTCTCCCTCCAGACATAGACGTATTCCACCCATATAGAGCCGTATGCCTCCCCCCTGGTGAACAGTGAGTGCCCTACAAACACACATGCAGGTCCCAAAACACAGTTGCCGCCGGAGATCTTAAACTTTCATTTATACAATTGTCTTCAAACTGTGCAGCGCTTGCCGCTCCGAAATGAAAGTCGGAACAAAATGGATTTGCTTTTGGAATTTTTTCTTCAACAGAAGATACACACAACCCAACACACAACACAACACAACACAACACAACACAAAACACAACCAAAAAAAAAAAACATTCTGCTGCTGTTTGTTTGGCCAGCGCACTATGGGGAAAAGATGCAACAATTTCACAAAAATTAAACATAAATATTAACATCATTATATAAACAAATTAAAGTTGTTTAAATTTAAATTAATTTGGAGGTAAGAAATACTAAATTATATTTTTATATTCAACTGAAAGACAAACTATATTTTAAATACATTTTTCTGTAAAACTAAAGAAATACAAACATTAAAAAATAAAAGGAAAAAGGATACCTAATATATTATTCTTATTTCTATATAAAACCAACATAATATATGTTTTTTAATAAAGCTATAGAGACCACTTTAAAACCTAGAAAGTTAACTGAGAATATAACGAATATGTTTTATTTATTATTAAGTTTTAAGTTTGTAATGCTTTAAATAAAAAGCAATTTGTAGACAAATAGTATTAAGAAAACATATAATATAGGCACATGGGTTTATGTCTTATTTATATTACTTTCTTCACACTTTATCTACCTAAAAAAAAAAGGAAATAAATGAACCAACTTTTAATCACTCTTTTTAAGAAAACATCTTAATTTAAAACCTTTATCAACTATAGTAAGCAACACCTTTTATTGTAACACTAATTTTCAGATATGTTTTCAAGACTCTTTCCAAATTTCTCTACTTTTTGCCATGGTGCTCTCTTGCAGCATTTGGTTTATTGCAGTTTTGTGGCCATGTGCCAAAGGAAAGGCGGCCGTACCTTTGCCAACTTCCCTCCGATATCTCGTTAAATCTAAATGCTGTGTTTTTTCTTATTTTGTCTTTTTTTCAGATTTTGTTTTTCGGGGATCGCTCTCCATCTCTTTTCCTGATCAACTTTCGCCGCCGAATTGCAGAACGGAGCGAATTTTGCCTTTCGAAGGTTCTCTGACCATCTTGGGACCCATCTTCAGGCCCTATTCCTGCCGGGTCAATGATCGCGGGTTTTGGCAACACAAAATATATATAAATAAGAAAAAAAAAAAAAATAGCAGCCCAAACTGGTTATTATAATTTTTCGGCTTTCGCAGAATCGCACGCAGCTGCCCGGACAGCGTCCCCCATTAGGTTGGCCCCATTCTCGGGCTGGCGGGTCCAGGAACTGGGCTTGGCCACATGACAGCCCCATCCTCATCCTCCATACCCCATCCCTCTGGCTAGGTTCTACACTGGAGGAAATTCTAGGCCGTATTATACTTAACAATTAAATTTGTTACTTATTATTTATAAGTGTTCTTCTTGTATCTCCGTGTCGAGTTTATAATTTTTTTTAGCTTGAAAAATGGGTTAGTATATCCAAGTTAAATATTTAATCAAAATCGTAGTAAATATAAAAATTGTTTCAGGTGTAACTTGTTTCGGTATTTGGCTTCGTGACAAATATGAATATTTTTTGAGAGCAGGGAGTGGGCCGGCGGCGTGGAGGAGTCAAGACACGGGCTAGCATCCACATCCACATCCACATCCCCATTCCCACTACCAATCCGCAGCGGAGCACCGCGAACGCGGAAGTATTTAAAGTGTTTGTTTGTCCATGCCAATTCCCTGGCTTCTGCCGCATTTTCAGCTTCGCTCTGAGCTCTGAATTCTGGACTGAAGCTGGAGCTGGAACTGGCGGAG